GGCATGAACTTCCGTGCACACAGCTGGGAGTGTAAACTGGTCAAGTCTTTTTGTAGAGCAATATGACTCTATAATAATATTGTACCTCAAACAATTTTTTTTTCTTTTTAAAAAAATTTTATTTAAGGAGAAAAAGAAAAAAAACAGAAAAAGGGTACAAGTTATACAGAATTTCAGAAAAAATAAACAGTAGGAAATCACTAGTTAATAGATTACATATTGTCATCTTAGAAATATTTGTTCAAGTTACAAAATTAAAACATAAAGTGGACATTCAAACAGACTGCAAACAGTTCTGTTCAATGATCCAACAAAACTCAGTAATATGGTTATCTATCTTATACACTTAAATGTACATGCAGTTATATCTTTTAGAGCACTTTCTTTTCCTCTCTTTTGTACAATGACAATTACACATTTTGGGTTTTATTACTCCCACAGTTCTTACTACTTTTTTTTGAAGAGAGTAAAACCAAATGTGACATAACAGAACAGAGTCAGATCAAAAGGATGGACATAATATATAATGTAAAAACATAATACAAGGTGATCAGCAATGCTTACCATAATGCCTCTTGCTATCCTCAAACAATTTTAAATGTACATTACTTTGACCTAGAAATTTTACTTTAAAAAATACTCATATATTTGCTTATGAATATGTAAACTTTTTTATAATACTATTTGTAATGAACACATTAGGAACAATCTAATAATGTCACAGTATCTTCTTTCTGCCTTTGAGGTAGAAATTTAAAATCTATTTCCCTGGTTACCGTAAGTTCCTCCTTATTCCCTGGATTTAAGAGCAAGTAAGTGCTTGTGACATGAAAGAGAAGACAGCTCTGACATCACAGGTACACAATCCTGCAGCTACATGGTTTTTTCTGAATACCTGGAGTTTACTTCTGCATATAGTTCATTTCTCATTTTTCACTTCTACATTTTCTAATAGGAATTTGTGAACCAAGTAAGCCAATTTTGTGGATGATTTTACTAGCAGCAAGTAATTTTTAGGAGAGCTGATACACAAAAAATTTTAGGGAACTTTAAGTGAGCTACTTTAGTCGAGGACCAAGTTTCATTTTTGTGAAGTTTTAGGAGCCTATACTACATTGCATATAATAAAAAGTAATGTTTTTTCCATAGCATTTGCCCTGACAAATTCCCATGATTTAATCAAAATGAAATGGCTAATGTGTCAGTCACTCCTAGGGTATAAATATGAGAAAGAAATCTGTACTTCCTGACTAGAGAAAAAGAAGTGATAGTTACCTCTGTACTCCAACTATAAAATTCCATGACAATATTTACCAAACATTGACCAGTTGTTCTTTTTTTTCCTCTCTTGGTCAAATGTTCTTTATTCAATAGCTTAATCTGCATAAATCATGAAATTATTAACAAAAGCTACGAATTGAGTTAGACTAGCACTGTCTGATAGAAATACTTGTGAATCATAAAATTTAAAGTTTGTTAGTAGATACATTAAAGTAAATTGAGTTTGGTGGTATACCAAGCTATGATCCCAGCACTGTGGGAAGCTAAAATAGGAAGATCTCAAGTTTGATCCCAGTGTGGTCAATTTAGCAACTTACTAAGACCCTGTCTCAAAATATGTTGGGAATGTAGCTGCATGCAAAGGTTATAGGTTCAGTCCTCAGTAACTCCCCAAAGGATAGTACTTTTAATTTTTACCCAGCACATTAAAATTATATCAACATGTAATCAACATAAAACTGTAATTTTACATTTCTTTGGAGACACTAAGTCTTTGAAATTCAGTGGATGTTATATACTTAATGGACATGTCCGTAAGCCATATTTGGTCAACAGCTATTGCATTGGACAGTGCATAGCTAGGCTGCAAGCTCCAAATATCAGAAATCTGATTATCTTCTTATTATATCCCCAGCCCCTAGCCTAGTAACTGGTGTCCAGTAATACTTTTGACTTACTGAGTGGATACTTTGTGTATAAAACTATCTTTTCCTTGATTCTCAACATGTAATCCATGTGAATGAATCATATTTGTCACAGAAATAGTTGGTGGTAAGTTTAGAGCTCCTTCCCTGCTGTATTGTCATTTTTTAGAAGTCCTAGAATGTGCTGTATTTCTTTTCATTTTTGCTCAAAAACAGCATTAAAAAGGTCCTTTTGGCTCTAGGTAATGTAACAATATCATAAAGATTCTTAAGAGTTATCTGTTGACCATATAGCAACCCTATTTTGTTTTTTCTTTGAATTTTCTTGCTAATTCTTAGAAGCATTTTGTTGAGAAGATTATTGCACAATCCAACACCTGTCCCATAGGTCATCTAAATCTCTTTGTTTTTTCCTTTTTTGGTACTGGGGATTGAACCCAGGCCCTCACACATGCTTAGCACATGCCCTATCATTGAACTGTACCCTGAGCTATATGCTCCTAGTCACCTTTGTCCCATACTACTATGATACCAAAATTCACAGAGAGTTGATTATCCCTGTCATTGTTTGCTTTGACCTGCAGTTAAAGTCAGCAAAATTTTTTGACCTGCTATGTATGTTCAGTTGTTTAGATGTTATGGTAATACAGGGTAATTATTATACGTTATCTTTTCTGTGGGGAGTTTACAATCTATTTGGAAAAGAAAGCCAGGTGTGGTGATACACGCCTATAATCCTAGCACGAAGGAGGCTAAGGCAGGAGGATTGTTGCAAATTCGAGACCAGCCTGTCCAACAAAGTGAGCTTAGAGCCATCCTGAACTGCATAGCAAGACCTTGTTTTAAAAAGATCAAAAAAAAACAAAAAAACAAAAAAACAAAAAAAAAACTGATGAGACATGAAGAATTAAATGAAAGTTAACTAACAACTTTGTTCCATGTTTTCTGTGTGCTCTAGGGGTGGTTGTAGAAAGGTGAATGCAGGCTAGGTGAAGTGCATGTCTGTTAATCCTAGCACTTGGTAGGTAGGGGCAGAAAGATCTTGAGTTCAAGGCTACCCTGGGCTCTGTAGCAAGTTCAGTGGCATTATGGACTTGTTAGTGAGATCCTGTCTGAAAGAAGGGGAAGAAAGGAAGAGGGGCAGGGATGTGGCTTAGCGGCACAAGTGCCTGCTTTGTCCTAAGGTCCAAAGTTCGCTTGCCAGTGCTCAAAAAAAACAAAAAACGGAGAAGGGGAAAGATAAACATAGTCCTCTTCTTTCAGATACCTCAGTCTCCTATATATACCAATAAACATCTTAGTATAATGAATGTTTAAAACCTGTGAGGTGCAGTAACTATCCCTATATATAGGTTACAGATGAGAAAGCAGACTTAGTGAGGGTCACTGTCTTACTCAAGGTAGCAGTTAGAAAACCTGGATTCAAATTTAGATATTAGGGGAACATTTCCTCTTCTTCCTCACCATACTCTGTTTCCAAAGTCTTAGAAAGATAAAGTGAGTTCTTTATTTAAGATAAATCATAGCTCATTAGTAAATTTGCTGACTGTAGTTTGTCTGATATAATACTATTTACATAGTTTTGGTATAATCTGGTTAACAGTGTGTGTTTATCCCAATTTATGATAAAGACAGTACTGAACCAGAAGGGCCCTAAGGTCTTAATAGTGATAAAGAACAGCATGGACCAGAGCTGGAGGTATTTACACTGCTAGGGACTAGGGCAGGGAGGCCAGGCCAAGGTGTTAGGGGAGGACTCTGGGCTTTCCAGGGAGGGACTGCCATTGTAGTGGCAGTGGTGTGGGAGGTCAGTAGGTTAGTAGGGGAGAGGCGCTAAAATGCTGGCCTGAGGACTTAGTTTTTGAGCAGTATTGAGCAAAGACAAATAGGACTGACATGGGCCAGTGAGTCAGCAGTTTGGGCATTTAGTTCTAAATTATTTAAAATTTCTTTTCAGTTCTTGTTTAGAAGTATATCCTAGAGAATGGGATTTAAAAATATATATAAAGCCTGTTAGATTGGTAATAAATTTTTATTGATATAACATGTTTATTAGGTATTAGGGCTGGGGATTTAGCTCACCGGCATAAGCACCTGCCTTGCAAGCAGGTGGTCATGAGTTCGATCCCTGGTACCGATTTAAAAAAAAACAAAACATGTTTATTAGGTATCTATTATTACCCTAAATATTAACATTTTGCTACTATCTATTCTGTCTATTCATAGATAGTAGATCGATCTTTAGAGTGACAAATAATAGCATCTTATTGCATCCCATATACAGTATACTTAAACATCATTGGTTCTGTAGCCATGCAAAAGTTTATGTAGACTGGCATAAAACATTATATAAGATTAACATAATTTAAAGTTTTGGGTTTTTTTAACCACTAAAATAATCTTTAAGTAATTTTTAGTGAAATAGTTGATATATTTTAAACACCAGAAATTTCAATTATAAATTACAGAAATAGCTTTTTTTAGTAGTGCTTTTGACTGAAAGTTGTTCTTTGAGGTAGAGATCTTTTTTTGTTAAATATTTGGAATGGTATTTAAATTCTGAATTTTGCTATGACCTCTTAAGAGTCAATTTTCTTTTTAAGTGTATAATTATATATTGTGGAAAAGTCGTAGAATTTATGTGTATATATTTTTATTTATACATGACTCATTCATATTTTTATGTAGTTTTTTAATATTCACAGTTTAATTTCCTTGTTTTTTTTTCCCTCCTTGGAGGAAATAAAAATTTGTCTTGTTAGCTTTTGGATTTCTAAACCTCTTCTCTTTCCTTTCTTGAAAATTCCAAGGTGTCAGCCATTTTCTTGGATATAGTACATTGTTACCTTCCTTGGGAAAAATCTTTTTACAGTTATCAAAATTTAAAAGTCATATGAGATAAAAGTGGAGATTAGTTCCTTAAAATCTTAAGTAGTATATGTGAATATATAAAATAACTTGTGCAAATAAAAAATACATCCATTATATATCTTCCCTGATTCCCTTTTGAAGCTCAAATGTTTGTGCTTTTAATCTGGTTGGCCACTTGCGGAAAACTGTTGTCTCCTCTCCTAGGCCACAGACCTCCACCAGCACGCAGTGGACATCGCTGTGTGGCAGATAATACCAACCTCTATGTGTTCGGAGGGTATAATCCAGACTACGATGAATCGGGAGGGCCAGATAACGAAGACTATCCTCTCTTCAGGGAGCTGTGGAGGTATCATTTTGCCACAGGAGTATGGCACCAGATGGGTACAGATGGCTACATGCCCCGAGAATTGGCATCTATGTCACGTGAGTGCAAGTAGTTCTGAACTTTTGACTTTCGGAAATATCTGAAAGGCCAGGTTCAATATCACATGTTCTTTGTTAATAATTTATAATACTGTAATATGACTAAGCCCTATTAATGGATAGGCATTTTACTACAGTAAAATGTACAAAATAATACAGAATGGTGATTCAGAATCACTTAGGTCCTGAGTTTGAATCCAGCAGTATACCATTTGCTTGCCAGGGAGTTTTAAATTTGTTCCTAGCTTGTTAATGGGACTAATAATATTTCAGAGGATTTATGATAAAGGATCATATATTTGCTAGCAGATACAATCCATCAATAAATGGGGTTATAGTAGTGATAATAGTTATTGAGCAGAGTACTTTGCATGTATTGTAGTGATTGGTGTTGCACACATAAGAAATGAGCTTTAGAGAAGCCCTGAGGGTTATGGGTTAGGGTGCAGGCTCTGCAGCCAGAGTGCCTGGGAGTGAATATGACTTCGGCAGGCCTTTTAGGTGCCTTGGCAAGTTATTTAAACCACTGTTAGCCTCTGTTTCATCATCTGTAAAAATGGAGAAGATAATTGTTTCCTCATAAAATTGTTATATAGATTAAGGCAGGTTAAATAGCTTTGTTGAGGTCACAGTGGAATTTAACCCCAATTTTTGCTGCCTCTGGACCCAGATTATTGACTATTGTATCAGTTAAATAATTTGTTTTTTCAGAAAAGCCACTGAAAAACAGAGGGGCACTGTTTTGAGAAAGTATTCATGAGGGAGAGTGTGTGTGCTGTGTTAGGAACAGAGAGACAGAGGAAGAACATCAAATTTACCTTCAGAATATTGGCATGTTTCTTTTATATAGTAAAGGATTAAAATGTCAGACATCATAATTTAAAACATAGAGACAAATACAGAATTTATCTTTTTATGCTTTCGTCCTGAGACCCACAGGGCCTTTGCCGAGGCAAAGATGATGCTGCATTTTCCTCTGCTTTGTGCTGAGCTTGAGCAGTCGTGAGCTGTGATGGTCTACCCTAGTTTACTCAGCATTGCTGCACATTTAATGAATTCCACAAACATATCAACCCTGCTATATATCTCACACGAACCATATCAATCAGTATATACCAGTGATGGTGAACCTTTTATAGATGAGTGTCTATACTGCACCCCAAAACTCATTTATTGCTAAGTACCAATACTGCGATTAAACCCGAATCCTGAGGTTTTAGTTTAGAAAAACGATTCATGCATTAACATTTTTTTTTAAAAGAAAAACAACATGAGTGCCACATGATTGCCACCACTGGTCTATACAGTGTAAATTGGGCTGGGGAGTTAGCTCAATGGCATAAGCGCCTGCCTGGCAAGTGCGAGGTCGTGAGTTCGATCCCCAGTACCAAAAAAAAAAAAAAAGAAAGAAAGAAAGAAAAGGGTATACAGTGTGAATTATATACATTTTTCTCTAGAACTTCGTAGTAGTTTGATGCCAGTGTTTGGGCTGTCTTATGAGGTCTTTAAAGTAGGCATTTTTTAGTTTTTCAAATATTCTGGGTTTGTGGTTTGTGGGGGAATACAGTGCAGTACATAAATGGAATATGTGCTTCTTCTCCCCTAGTCGTGCTGCATGGAAACAACCTGTTAGTGTTTGGAGGTACGGGCATCCCCTTTGGTGAGAGCAACGGCAATGACGTTCATGTCTGTAATGTGAAGTATAAGAGATGGGCTTTACTCAGCTGTCGGGGGAAGAAACCCAGTCGTATATATGGACAGGTATCAATTTATGGCCAGTTATGTGGATGTATTTGTTCACATTTTTCTAATCTAGAGGCAATGTCAGAATATTTATATTGCTATCAGTATTTTTTTTAAAACAGTTAATTTATGTGGTTTTTTTTTTTTTTAGTTCTTTTGAGACAGGGTTTTGCTATGTAGTCCAGGCTGGCTTTGAACTAATGGCAGTACTTCTATGTGTTGGGATTACAGTCATGTGCCACCACACCCACTTGTGTGAAGAAACCAAATTTTATTTCAATTCTGAAGTAAAATTATAATTTGTGGTTCTTCTCATTTCTCTTTTTCTTCCCCGTATTTGTTTTTATTCCACTTTAGGGTCATGATCCAGACCTATTTGGAAGTTTCTTTAAATATTAGAACCTTACCTGGACACAAACACACTCACCTGCACACACACACCACACTGTGAAAGACAGGGCTTTGTCTAGTGTGATGTGGATTCTGTCATTATTAGAATGAGAAGACTCTGTGAAAAGCTTTCTTTCCCAAGTAGTAGACTAGATGATCCCTGTACTTGATTAAGAGACATTTACACATGAGCTAAATAAAACTTATGTAGAGATTAGTTTTAGTACTTAGGTTTGCAGTTACATCCAGAAAGATATGGTGATACCTGTCATACATCAGAGATTCTTTGATAGTAAGGGGCCAAACTTAACTATGCTTTGGTTTCTTTTCAACTAGCCAACAATGTATTAATAAACAATTTCTGAGTTTTACCTTTGAAAAGGGACGTGGATCACTTTGTCTCTTAAACTCTAAGAAGTAACCGTAACAATAGCTGGAATCACATTGAAAGAGTCTGATAAAAACTTTCAAGATCCTGAATCGCCAACTTGACTTCCTATTTAAAGGATTCTGGTGGTTTATTTCCATATCTACTGCTGTTCCTTGAGAGTATTTTTCTTTAGACTGTGTAGGGAAAAAGCAGCATTCAGTGGGCATGGTAATGTCCATGATCTATGATATTGGCTAGAAGTTCTATGAATCAACTAACCCCTTGCATATCTAGGTAGAATTTACAAAGCTGTGCCTTTTACAAGGTAATCTCCAGGTTTTTCAAAAGTCTTTAGTCCTTGTCTGTTTTTCTTTTTTTTTTTTTTTTTTATTTTACTTTATTTGTTTTTTGGAGACAGTACCTTGCTATATTACTTGGAATCAAGTGATCTATCTCAGCCTCCTGAGGACTACAGGTGTATATACTGACACTCAGCTTTAGAATCTGATTTTTTTCTTTTTGTTATCATTGTTGGATTTTTGAGACACAGTCTCACTATGGAGTTCAGGCTGGCCTTGAACTCACTATCTAGCCAAGTTGGCCTTGAATTTGCAGTGATTCAGGGGCTGAGGATTTAGCTCAGTGGCACAAGCACCTGCTTTGCAAGTGCATGGTCGTGAGTTTGATCCCTGGTACCAATAAAAAGGAAAAAAAAAAAGACCAGAATTTGCAGTGATTCTCCTGCCTCAGCCTCCCAAGTGCTGTGATTACAGGTGTGCCCCACCACGCTTGACTAGAATCCAGTATTTTTTTTTTTTTTTTTTTTTTTGTCTTTTTCCTTTTTCTCGGTACCAGGGATCGAACTCACGATTACCTGCTTGTAAGGTAGGCGCTTATGCCACTGAGCTAAATCCCCAGTCCCATAGAATCCAGTATTTTAAGAGGTTAAAAAGAACAAGAGAATTTCACAAAACCTGATTTAGAGACATTTAATCAAATGTTAATGAGTCATTCTTGTTGCTTTTTGTCATTACCCAGGCCATGGCCATCATCAATGGGTCCCTTTATGTCTTTGGAGGGACAACTGGTTACATTTACAGCACAGATTTGCACAAATTAGATCTCAATACCAGAGAGTGGACACAACTAAAACCCAACAACCTGTCCTGTGACCTCCCAGAGGAAAGGTGAGCTCCTAGTGAAAACATATTCTGTCTTTCTTGCTTGAGATTTGACTACATGCAGAATATTGACAATATGGAAAAACCCTTTGGCCACAGTTAAAATAGCTAAATTGTTAGATTATGGTCAGTAGAAAAGAAAGCTTTTCTGTTGAGAAAATGCTATTTTTTCCTAAACTATGGAATTTTTTTCATGTTATTTCCTCTTATGCTTTTGAGACTTTCTGTGTTAGGAAGTTTGTAACACTTTGAAGAAGAAACCAGTGGTAAAAACTTTTTTTGTTTTTTGCTAGTAACACTTGAAGAAAGAAATGAGTGGTAGCAATTACAACTAAAGTTCATACTGGTGATCAGTAGGTGTGGATTGGATAGATGGAAGGATGAATGGAAAGATGGCTGGATGGGTGGGTGCAAAAAAAGGTCATTTCTTTTAAGTACTCTGTTAAACAGTTCAGCGTTATGTGGTGTTTCAATTTTTCATTGCTGTGACAAAATATCTGATATAAATAGCTTAAGAGAAGAAAGCTTTATTTTAGCTCACGGTTTCAGACATTTCAGTGCACGATTGGCTGGCTTAGTTGCTTTAGGCCTCTGGTGAGGCAGAACTTTATGGCAGAAGGGCATGGAGGAGGAAAGCTACTCACCTTATGGAAGCCAGGAAGCAGAGAGGGAGAGGCTAGAAACAGCTGTATTCCCTGGGATCATGTCCCCTGCTGTACTCTCTTCAGTTAGGCCTCTTCCTAAGTCTTCATCACCTTCCAGTAACGCTGCCAAATTATAAATCCCATCAGTGGATCAATCTGCTTATCAAGTTAGAGTCCTAATGATTCAATCACTTTCAAAAACTGAAGTGGGGGGCTGGGGATTTAGTTCAGTGGCATAAGTGCCTGCCTTGCAGGCAGGCAGCCATGAGTTCGATCCCCGGTACCGATAAAAAAAAGAGACAAAAACTGAAGTGAGCCTTCTAAAAAGGACTGATCCAATCATAGCATATAGTTCTCTCTAGTTGTCTTTTATTAGGAATCCTAGACCCTTCACTTTTTTTTTCTTTTTTGGTATTCTCGATTGAACTTAGGGCCTTAGCTTTGGGTTATATCCCAAGCCCTTTTTTTTTTTTTTTTTTCGTCTTTTTCATTTTTATCGGTATCAGGGATCGAACTCAGGACTACCTGCTTGCAAGGCAGGTGTTTATGCCGCTGAGCTAAATCCCCAGCCCCTCCCCCCAACCCTTTTTTAAAAAAGTGTTTAAAACAGCCTCTCATTGAAGCGCTGGGCTCAAACTTTTCAGTCTTCTTGCCTCAGCCTCCCAGAGTTGGGATTACAAGTGTATGCACCGTAACTGGCTTAGATCGTTCACTTTGTTTTTTAATTTAAGAGAGAAAAGAAACATAGAAAATGAAAACAAAAAGCAAAAGAGACAAACAACAAACCCAAAACAGTAAAAATATAGGCTTTCAAAACAAGATGATAGGAATTTAACAATGATTGTTATATTGCATTTTGTTTCCTAATAATAGCTGCTGCTTCTTAGACTTAAATTTACTGAGAAACTTGAAATTATTTCCCTTCCAGTTTAAAAGCAAGACAGTAAATAATTTTTTATTCCCTGTTTATCTAATCCACTGTGACTTTCAACAAATGTCAGGAAGTGCTGAGGAAGCCTGTAGGATGGATCTGTGTTGTAGTGTGTTAGTGGGCTGATCATTCAGAGCTGCCATGGGAAGACTTGGGAAGTGGGCTGTTAGAGAATGATTTTGATGTAAGTTGTTTTTATCAGCACTGGGCCTTCAGAGAAGGAAGGAAATAGATAGTTTTAAAAGTGTCTTCACATGTTTGTATTAAGTCATTTTATAGACACATTATAAATTGTTGCAGCTTCTAGCCAGACTTCCTGTATAAGAGCTCTGATAGGTGTTTCATATTATATTTACAGTTTTATGTGACATAATTGCCTGCCAAATAAGTATTTTAGTTTGAAAACTCATAATTTAGGATCTCTAATTAAATATAGCTACCACACTTTTTAAAACTCTGTAATAATTTCCCCCTCATACAAAGTTATTGCAGAAAGATTATTAAAAGTGTAGAAAATGTAAGTAAGCAAAATGAACATTTTTAGAGAATATAAACTGAGACAGATAACCAGAGTTTGTATTATATCCTTATGATGATTTTCTGTATATGTGTAGTTTTTAATACCTGTTTTTTGTGTAACTGATTTTTTGGTTAATGACGACCTAAAAAGAAGTCATTATATTAACCATCCTCTATGCCTGCATTGTTATCAATTATCTAGTAATCCATTTTATGTATATTTTATTTCCTTTTTTCTCCCCTGTATTGGGGATCGAACTCAGGACCTTGTGCTTGCCAGGCAGCTGGCAAGAGCTAAATCCTCAGTCCCTTTATGTATATTCTAGAATATATTTAACTAATTTACCATTGCCAAACAGGTTATTTCTAATAATTTATTATTATAAAGAATGATAAGATATTATAGCTGAGTCTTAGATCATTTTTCACTTAATTAAAAATATTATTTTATTGCACATTTCAGATACAGACATGAAATTGCTCACGATGGGCAGAGGATTTATATCTTGGGAGGTGGTACTTCCTGGACTGCTTATTCCTTAAACAAGGTATGTTAAAAGAAGAGGGGCTGGGGATTTAGCTCAGTGGCATAAGCGCCTGCCTTGCAAGCAGGCAGTCGTGAGTTCGATCCCCAGTACCGGTAAAAAGGAAAAAGTAAAAAAAAAAAAAAAAAAAAAGAAAAAAGAAAAAAAGGAAGAGCATGGATAGACAGAGGCATATATCATACTGTGCAAGATAAGTCTGTTGTTGTAGGTATTTTAATTTTCGAGTAGCTTCCTCATCAATAACTGTTTTGCATAGTTGTTCTTTGTAATATAAAGTTGAACTCTGCACCTTTGATAGACTTTTCAGTTGACAGCTGTATTTATCATACCCTGAAAATACTGTGTGAAAATTATGTCGTTATGCTGGGTGAGGAAAGTGACTAGGAGAAATGTGGAGTATAATGGAGCAACAGGGTAAAATTGGAATCACAGTTTCCAGAATGTCACATTCATCTCATTGTCATTGTGTATCTAAGAAAAACAGGCATGTATAGGGCTGCGTATCATTAACTTGAGAAAAGTGCAGGACTTTTATTCATCTATCCCTGTGGCATTTCTAAAATGTCATGGTTACATATGTGGGGAAATCTAGATTGGAGTACAGAGCTTGGAACCTTAATGGGCTAAGTTTTGTCAGAACTGCATTCTTGTGTTTCCTTATCAGTGTTTGTCTTTTTGTTATAAAACTGATGCACATTCTCTGTAGAAAATGTGGAAATCTATAACACAGCACACAGAAGAAAACCAAGAATCACATGTACTTCTGCTTTTCATTCCAACTTTTTCTTCATTTTTTGATGAGTTTTAAAAATTGCTATCATATGTGCAGTTAATTTTCAGTTCAGTTAATTTTCAACTACTCATTTAATGTTTACATTAGAATTAAATCAGAGAAAAACAAAGAATAAACAGAATTTTCAACCAAGAATGTGTATTTGCAAAGTTGCTATTAAAAGTTCAGTTTTCTATATGAGAAATCTCAGTACTTCTGCTCAGTTTTTCTAAAATTGCTCCTAAAAATAGTTTATTTTTGAAAATTCATTTTCAGGCTAACTAAAATTATAGTTACTTATCTTTGTATATGTTCTTTTTTCCCACCAAGATCCATGCATACAACCTTGAAACAAATGCCTGGGAGGAAATTGCAACAAAACCCCATGAAAAAATAGGTAAATTAAAAGTATTGATTTATTTGTCTTTAGTGAATGCATTTAATACTTTTGTTTTGGGAGGGGTGAAAGTAATTTCCTTGAATTATATGGCAAATAAAGTATCTGTTGAACTGGTATTAGAAATTACTTGTATTCTTTATTTCAATTATTATTCTTCAGCAACTGAGCAAAAGAGAATTTTGATAGGAGTTGTTGAATTCTGTGGCAGAAGTGGGGAAACATGAGTGGAATGAGAGATACGAGCTTAAATTAAGATCTCCCTCGGCTTTTGTGAATAAAAGGGCTTAGGGAAGTCACTGGTAGGCCCTGTACCCCTCACTGCATTTTGTTTTCCTGACATCTTACCATTGTGCTGCTCTGATGAGATGACTTCTGGTGGCTTTTAAAATAAGGAAGGATTGGCAGGATTAGTCAAGTTTTGTTTAGTGCAACGAAAGGATTATTTTGAGTTACTTGTAATATATCCTTCACTGTGTCATATCAATGTCATTACTCATCTTTCTATAAATAATGAAATTTCTATGTTTATGTGTTTGGCAGGTTTTCCTGCAGCCCGAAGATGTCACAGCTGTGTTCAAATAAAAAATGGTAAGGATTCCAAATGACATTTTGATTCCATTTCTGTAATTGTATCTGCTGAGAATGATTTATTTTCTAATGATGGTACTTCAAAAGGGATGTATAACTTTGGGGAAAGTCTTGAAGATTAACCTTAAAGGACAAGCTAAAAGTTATGTATCTTTTGCCAGTTTCCATAATGTAAACTAGTTTAGTGTCTAGATTCCCTCAGTTATAAAAGAATCCAAAAATTTGTGATAAATAAGCTTATATTGTACCTCTGATCTTTTAACAGCTGACCTCAAGAGAGATCTGTGATTATATTGTAGTACTAATAATGGTAATGGCTTATATGATATAGACCTCAATGGACATTGTATTAAAACTGTAATAATTCCTTCGGAGTATTATTTCATAAAGTTGGTTCTGTTCTCTGATGTTAAATTGAGCTCTGAGCTTATTCTTCGGCCATATTAAAACAAAAGTATAAAGGCATTGGATGGCTTCAGAAAGCAGCAGTACTTACTTATCTAAGTGTGAAAAATGACTCTTCTTTGAATGACCAGCTTATATTATAGTTTGATACAGCTCCTTACATTTAGTTTTCCTAGGAGGAAGGTGTGTATAAATGAATTTGAGAGACTATCCTTTTGGCAGCATAGTTGAGATTTAACTTGGATTATTGTGCCATCTCTAGTACACATGGACGTTTCATTATACTTCTACTTTTTGGATAAGATTTATAGATTGGCATTGTTCAGCTTTGCCCCTCTGAGAATGGAGCTGTACTTCCAAGATTTATTTGAATGCTGGCCAAAAGAGTTTCTGGGGTGTTTTATAGTTTAATTAACTATTGGCTTCAACTTGATCTTGACCAGAATTAAGACATTTACTCACTTGATTCTTTCAGGCCAAGCACCATGCAAATGAAATTTAGCATTAGTTCTGGCCATTTAGTTTGACGGCTCCCAAAACCTTTGTTATAAGTTGACTAGTTACAACTGACTGTACAAAAACAAAAACATCTGCCTTTTCTTTGAGGAAAATTGTATCCCTGACAAAGAGCTACACAGGTCAAATGCAGCTTCAGAATGCCTTCTTTCTGCTGAAAAAAGCCTTGAAAACCCTTTCTTGTCCCCCTGAACTACACAGTGCAGTGAGAGTTTCTCCTCAGGTTAGATGTCCACATGAAGGACAATTGTCTCTATGGGCACATAAATGCTCTTTCCAGGACATTGATTAAAATAAGAGTGTGAGCTGGCCATGTTGATGTGCGCTTGTAGTTCCAGCATTAGGAAGCTGACACAGAGGAATTACTACAAGTTCAAGGCCAGCCTGAACTGCATACAGAAACCCTGTCTCAAAAAGACAAAAAATAAATAATAAAGTGAGAGTTTGAAAACTGGTGGTTTGTAGGTATGTTATAACTGGATCCTATATGCATTAAGTTTTTTTGAATTAGTAACCAACTCGTAAAAATCAAAATGGTTGCTGAACATGATGGCACACACCTGTAATTCTAGCTGCTTGGGAGACTAAAGCAGGAGGATCACAAGTTCAACCCCAGAATGGGGCACTTGGCAAGACTCAATCTGAAAATAAAAAGGACATGGTGGCTTAGTGGTTGAGTGCTCCTGATTTCAATCCCCACCCCACCCCTAATCCAGATTTTCAGTTCTTTTGAAAAAATGAGGGTCAGGTGTAGTGGTGTATCCCTTGTAATCCCACCACTCAGGAAGCTGAGGCAAGAGGATCACTGTGAGTTCTAGGCCAGCCTGAAATGCATGGTGAGACCCTGTCGCAAAAAAAAAAAAAAAAAAAAAGGGAAGATGTGGCAGCTGCTCCCGTGAATACTGATAATAGCACCAGTGTTATCATCCTGTTGTCCAGTGGTAACACTGGTGCTGGAGCTACAAAACCACCCAGTTTTTCAGAGCTTGTTTGTTTCCCCTACGACTCCTGTTTATTTATCCTAGGCTCTCTTATTCATTCCCTTTCTGTGCCTAAAACCTATAGAGGTGTTTGAATTTGAAAAGCCTGACATGGAGCCTCCTTAGAGGCTTGCATCCTTACTCCCAGTAGTCTGATGTAGTGTCCCAGTTCTACTGAGAGACAAGCCAGCGTGAAAGACCATTCTGCTAAAGACCTCTCTGTCATGGTACAATCCACTTAACTATAGCCAGTGTCTTGGTTACTTTTATCTTATGGCTGAGACAAAATATCTTGCATTCAAATATAGGGAAGGAAAAGTTTATTTAGCTTACAATTTTTGGAGGTTTCAGTCCATACTCAGCTGGCTCCAAGGCAGTGTGGCATGGCTAAGGGGCAGCTGTTCATGGTGGCCACAAGGTACAAGTATGAAAGAGCAAAATGGGAAGACACACCTCCTTTCCTCCCTTACATTGTATGCCGGCTCCCTGCCCCTGGGCGGGTGCAGCACTCACATCACCAATCCTAGAGCTAGACAACAAAGCCATCATAAATGCTAGATTCAGCCTCCTCCATGACGGTATGAGGCTTGTGGGGGGCATGGGGACATAAACCTTAACAGCTAGCCATATGATCTTTGTACTACTATAAAGCATGCTGTGGCCTTAGCTCTCTCTTGTATGGTCTTAGCTGTCTCTTTTCTTGGCAGATGTATTTATTTGTGGGGGCTATAATGGAGAAGTGATCCTAGGAGATATCTGGAAGTTGAATCTACAGACTTTTCAATGGGTGAAACTCCCTGCTACCATGCCAGAGCCAGTTTATTTTCACTGTGCAGCTGTTACACCAGTAAGTTTTTATTTTCATATCTTCCTTTGCATAGTTGTAAATCATAAGCAGATCTTTTTAGAGATTCTAGCAAGAAAAAAGATGCTGATATTAGCAAACCCTATATTTAAGAATGTGTTTTTATAACTTCCTGTTGAAGCTAGCTTTTCCTCAGAAAAAAGGTGAGGAAAATACCATTGTATCCAAATTAGAAGACAATAAATATTAAAAGAAAAACTACATGTGACATTTTAGGCCCTGACAGTTATATCCAAAGATGTTTTGTGGGAGAATAGAATAGCTTTACTTCTGGCACTATATTATTGAAGATAGCACTGTAAAGGCCTTTATTTTCATATTTGTGTTCCCAGCACTTGACACTTTGAATACTTAATATAGTCTAAGGTTAATGTTATTGAATGGAAAGTAATTTGTTGTTGAAGTAAAAAAAAAAAAGTCTAGGGGCTGGGGATTTAGCTCAGCGGCATAAGCGCCTGCTTTGCAAGCAGGCAGTCGTGAGTTCGATCCCTGGTACCGATAAAAACGAAAAAGACAAAAAAAAAAAAAAAAAAAAAAGTCTGAACTGGGTGTGGTGGCTCACGCCTGTAATCCCAGCTCTTGGGAGGCTGAGGCAGGAGGATGGTTGTGAGTTCGAGACCAGCCTGGGCTACAAAGTGAGCCCAAGGCCAGCCTGAACTTCACAGCGAGACCCTGTCTCAAAAAGACAAAAAAAAAAAAAAACAAGAAAGAAAGACAAAGAAATCTGTAGTTTTTCTTAGTAACTTACTTATTATTTAAACTCTTGATCTCCGCAAGGATGGGGATCAGTGACACATTCTTCTAGACTTGGGAGTTGAATCTAGGCTTGTGCGCATGCTGGGCAAGCACTTTACCACCAAGCTACATCCCCAGCCTGAGAAACTCTTTTTGGTTTCATCTCATCTTGGTTCAGTCTCCTATGTCCCACCCCCCCTTTTTTTTCTTTTCTTTCCTTTTCTTATCTCTTTCTGTCCTGTTTGAATGTGTCCTCTTTTTGACTGCTGTTTGTTCACAGGCTGGTTGCATGTACATTCATGGAGGAGTGGTGAACATCCACGAAAACAAACGGACGGGGTCATTGTTTAAGATCTGGCTGGTGGTGCCTAGCCTGCTGGAACTGGCATGGGAGAAGCTGCTCGCGGCCTTCCCCAACCTAGCCAACCTCTCTCGAACGCAGCTTCTGCACCTTGGACTAACACAGGGACTCATCGAGCGCTTGAAATGAGGATTTCTGGACTGTTCGTTGATACTGGAAATATTAATTTAAGAGACTCCTTTATTTATGGGCAGTGTAGAATGTGCTACAAAGAGGATTGGTACCCTGATCAAGGCCTTATTCAGAAAATACATCAGATGCCTTTCTGTAAGTTGGTTTTTTAAGTTTATGGACACATCACTTTCCCATGAGCTTTTTTCTTTGCTTCTTTGCCTCCTGCCCCAATACGTACCCACATACTTATTCACATATCCCCTTATTCACATATCCCCTTTCTTGCTAGAGTTGAAGAAAAGCCTGAAAGTACCTTATTAATTTTATGAATCAAGATAAGATAAAGAAGTTTTTAAAAATGAATTCTGAACACACTGACCATGTCAGCCAATGCTCTACAAATTAAAATATTATCAGCAAAGATAAAAATTAAAAATCCAGCAACAGTGACAAGAAGTACTTTGGAGGACAGAATGACAAGACTAACCTTTACAGTCTTGCAAGTTGTCGTTAAACCTGACAGTTTAGCTTGATGTTGTCCAGACGTGCCTGAGTAGCAGGCTCTCATGGCAGCAGGGGTTGACTTCTTGCTGCATGGGTACCTAAACCTATCCTTTGGCTTTGGAGGAGCAACTCTTGGTTAGTGATTTCTCTTCTCCTCCTGATAGTACCAGCAGTAGATAGAGTTGGCTCCTTGAAAGACTTCTTGTATGAGTCATAGTCAAGAGTCTTGGTGTAATTCTTAAATTGAGAAACTTACAATTGTCCACAAAGTTTTAAATTGAAAAACTTATGGTTGTCAGAATTCTTTCTGGGCAGTTTTAAAATTCTCTGATGATTATTAAGGTTTTAAGTATCTCTTTGAATCCTTCATGGGGAATAGTAGCCCTTAAACAGGCAGTGTGACGGCCACAGCAGGGAAAGCAGGACAGCCGGGACCTGTGCTCTCAGGCCTGGCTGATTTGGCTTCTGCCTGACTGTCACATTGGCCAGTTCCTTCTCAGAACTTGTTTCCGTCCTGACCTCTAGGCCACGTCCTTGCCATTTTCTCGGCAGGTGGCCAGGAGTACTCCTTAGCTTGTTACCTCTTTTGCTGTCTGCTTCGCTGTGCATGGTGCTATACTTGTGACTGGACAAAAGGTCTTGAGAGAAAAGCCCAGATCGTCTTCCTGAAGAACCAAGTATCATTTAAAAACTAGCACAAGGAAAGAATGCAACTAAATATCACTCACTTTTTTTTTTTTTTTGGTGTGAAATTTTAGTTCTGTTTTTGTTTTGTCAATTCTAAAAACGACCTATGTCTTTACTTGCTTTGCCATCATGCTGCTAGAGGAGTTGCGCGGGCTGCTCGCTGAGAGCATGTGGGCATTGCAGGTTTCTCAAGGTGCTGAAGGGCGTGGGCAGGCGCAGTGCTGACCCCTCCACAGGCCCTTCATTACAGGGCGCCCACACAGGAGATTTGGGACACACTTTTCCTTTAAGTGCCTCTTTTTCACCCAGCTTTAAAAAATTTTTTTCTTTTCTTTTACCCCAGAAGGGATCTCTTTGGCTGCTGTGTGGATTTAAAGTACCTTTGAGTTGAGGCTAAAAAGTTACTGTCTGATGTTCAGTTCTGGGGAAGAGACAGCTGTCACCTCTAGGCTTGGACCCCTAACTTGTAGGCTTTTTGCTATCCCATGTTCACAGAGCATGTATTCTGCAAAGCCTTATAAGAACTCATCTGTGAGTCTGGGTCCTTCTGTGGGGGTGAGGAGTGTGAGAAAAATGCAGGGAAAAGGAGCATCCTCCTCAAGGGTTGCATCCCCAATGGCTTGCCATTTCCAGTCTTGTGGTATTTAATCTCTTACCACCATCTGCTAGTCAAGTCAGTCAGAGTAGCTCCACCAGTTCAAAACAGGACTTTGCCACGATTTTGGCCTGCTTTTTCTAGGTCTGGTGGAATAATATCCAAAACTAAAGAAGTGATGCTGTTTAGCGTGGCAGAAGGATTTTTGCCATTGAAATCCATAGGGACCAAAGAGCAAATGCTCAGCCTGTATGCTTAGGCGTCCATGGTCCTTGGCACAGGAGCGGGTCTCTGTGCTCACAGAATGCTGGAGACCGGGGTCTGAGTCAATCCACACTTGGCTTGTATCTTTTTTAGAAGCCTTCTGAGGGCAGTCTTTGAGGTAGATGTTAAAGGCCTGGCATTAAAGACCTTGTGCGTGACATTTTCAGAAAATAACATGTCCTTCATCTGATGTGTCATAACACTAGGAAATGATGTGATAATGCACCTGTGTTCAGTACCAAACTAGACTGTGTGTCTGAGGAGTTAAATGACGGTGACTGGACTTTTATAAAAGGGTCGCCAGGCACTTTAAAGCCAGCACTTGGAGGCAAGTTATGCTGTTACTTGGTGTGGAAAGGGTTATGCTGCTGCTCTTCTGCCTCTCCGTGGTGCTCCCCTTTTCCTGCAGTCCTGGAAACTGAAGTGCAATATATAGAATACATATGGGTATATACAGATTATGGAGGGATGTGACTATCAAGCAGCTAGCCTTTTTTGTATCTGTCTTGAGGAAGCCAGCTCACTATTTTAGAATAAAATTATGACAAGCATTCTCAGTGTATCATCTGGTTCTTGGTAAAGCTGGATTTTCAAGACGAGGTTTTCTTATTCTAGTCGTAGAGACTCACTGTTCCTTGGGTTTGTCAGAGTGAGATTTTTCCCCCCGATTACCTTTGTGCTGTGTCATTTATGTATGTGCTGCCCAGGAACAAGGAAGTCCACTTGTAAGGCATTTTCTAAGTGGAGAATCAAAATCTAATTTTAGTGCTATCAGTTCTCTCTTATATACACTAACTTATCTGGGCTTGTAATACCTTATTAAATGATGAAAATGATATTCTTCTCATTTTATAAAGTATTTTCCACATCCTGAACATTCTATAAACTGATGTAGAATAGACTGAGATTTTAGTCATTCTCTTGGGGCCAAATAAAATCCTTTCCATTGGTAGGATCTTCTTTTTTCAAGGCCCTGATGACATGACGAACAAATTTACTCTACACCAATCATGTCCATCACACAGATAGATTTTAAACTATGAAAAGAAACATATTAATATTTCTAAGCAAAAAGTATGTTGACAGTGACCTTTGTGTACCCAGAGTAGCAAGAGTAAAGCACAGATAACTGAAATCCATAGATAATCAGTGTTTCCAGTTTTCCGTCAAACTGTCAACCCATTTACATTTCTTTTTCCACTCAGTCCCTTTCCTATGATCACTTCCTCCTCAATGGGATGAGTAGTTGGAAAAGGGGCTATCACAGAGCAGTTAGCAATCAGCAAAGGTATGCGGCCCACTTTGCTGTGCTTGGTCCATGCCATGACCATTGGCACTGCTGAGAGGAGCCACAGGCGGTGGCCCTGAGTTCAGGTGTCAGGGCTCCATCTCCTGCCGAGTCCTAGGTTGACTCCCCTAAACCACCAGAGAACTCTTAGCACCTGTGGGAAGAACAAGCTGTGTGTGACAGGCATGGGGACCCCATCATTTCAACATATTTCTTTGGCTCTTGACGAATCCTTGCTGTTTCTCATCTTACTTTGGTGATACCTTCTCCAGTCATAAAGCCTGGCATATGGGAAAGCATGGATTATTCTGTGTCGGTCTGTATACCCTAAAAACCACTTTGTTTTTATGTGTTCTTATAGATGTTTAGAGTGGCACTCTACCTGCCAGCAATCTGATGTAGCACAAAAAAGCCATTTTCCTTTTTCTTTTCTTTTTGTTTTTCTGGCATTGAGCTCCAGGGTAGATGATGGTTTATGGCCTTATGACCATAAGATCCAAAAGTGGCCACCATTAGTTTAAATTGTGTCGGTTCCCCGAATGCCTTGGCATTTTCAGGATGCTGGCAGGGCCTGAGGACGGCCCCATGGAGTCTGCAGCCTTGGGTGTGCTGCCACCAGGTCATGCCCAGTGGCAGCATTTCCCTCCTAAGGTTGTGAGCCTTGGTGGAAAGCGACCTTCCCTTGTCTGGTGTAATAAACAGAAGTTCTAAGTCGTGCATCAAAAGTGATATCATCTTTTTGGTGTAAATTTCATGTTTTTAATTTTTTAAAACTTGTGAGAAATTCTTCATTGGCCCTGCTTAGTCAGTGTACAGGGTGAGTCAGAGGCAGTTTTCAGAGAGAAAGCCAGTTTCACCAAGCAGTAGTGACTGCTGTTTTCCTAGTTACACATCTAGAATATAAAGGAGGCGTCGGAAAACACACTGGCTCTCTCTAAGGCCACTGCCACACACAGAGCTGCACAGGGAAGCACAGTCACCTCCCTGTAACGGCACCTACAGTGGCAAGGCACTGGGAGAGCCAGGAGAGAAACAGGGGCCTCTCTCTAAGACGCGCCTCTGAGGGGTGAGCCCAGGCTTCGCTCTTTCTGCAGGGTATGCTGAGGCCACACACAATGCTTGCCTTACTTTAAAGCTATTTGCCACAGCCCTGTTCAGTAGTGTGGAAGTCCTTTCGCAGTCTGGTGTGCATGCCATGTGATCAGGACAGCTTTTCCACCTTCTTTGGTTTCCTACAAGCAAGTAGGAGATGTAGTGAATTTACTCTGAAATGTCCAATCTGTATTTATGTACCTTGTCAGTGTTTTGCTGTTGGTTTTCTAAAACAATCTGATCAATAAATCTTATTCAACTCTATTTGGTTCATGGCTACTTTGCTTGTCTGCCAGTAATTTGTGTGTGCGTGAGCTTTCCCTACCTGACATAAGCCTCAGTGCCACCTTCACCGCCTTCACTGTCCCCACCAGGGTCAGCCTTTCTTCGTGATATGGTGAGGCATCGCCCTCCACCCCTGCCCCACAGCAGGTGGTTCTGTCAGCTCACCATCCAGAATTTAGGACACATGGTTGTTTCCTCCATAAGGCCATCAGCTTTGGGGCAGGCCACAGTTTCTGCTGGACAAGTTTGTATGGGCCTATCTACACTTTCTTGAAGGGTTAGAGGAGCTACGGGGAATTCAGAAGTAGGTACAGAGTCATAGGACTTTGTGATCCAAGAGAAAAGGCCCTGTGGGAGCTCAGCCCTGTCCAGGGGTCCTTCAGGGATGACAGCATAATTCCTAGCACTGACCTTGGTCTCTCAGGTGCTTTCCTCTCCAAAACTTGCCCTTTGTGCCAATTCCCGTCTGACTTCCCTCACAGCTTACACCTCCCCAGAGTAGGAAGTGAACTCCAGGTCTGCTCACTTCTAAGGTCTCTCTTCCAGAATTGCACATGGGCCTTACTTTTTAGTGTTTCCATTGGATGACAGTCAAGGACAGCTTTAGATACTACAGTGTAAGTCTGTAAGGACAAAGAGAAACAGTGTCAGTCCATCTTGCAGAGGGTTAATAGCTGACACATATTATCCTTCCTTTGGTTTATTTCTCTCACCTCTTCTAAAGTATAGGTTAGTTTCAGTAGTTTAGGTGGTAGTGTTCTTCGTGTTACATTTATAAAGTTCTGTTTTGTCAAAATGTAGACAAAATGTAACTCAGAGGTTGCTAGTAAAGATGCAAGGCCAGGATCCTAAACCAGCAGAGCTTTCTGCCCTGATGGGAGTGGCCTGTATCTGTATTGTTGCAGCCACTATCCCACTGACCACTTCAGTAGGCGCCAGCGTGTCTTAGGAACTGAATTGTGAAACTGACCTAATTTTAATTTCTTAAATGTAAATAACCTTATGTGGCTAGTGGCCGCCTATTAGCGCAGTTCTGGAAGATGACCCGAGGGTTGGGAGAACAGAACTCTACTCTCGACTCAGTCTATGATAATCCCATCCTGGGCTGGCAGAAAAGCGTTTTTAGAGCACTTGCCTAGCATGTGTGAGGCCCTGAGTTCATCCGAGCACCATAAAATAAATTTGCTGTTCTCTAAGTGGTTGTAAAGTGTTGGTTGATTCAAAGGCTGGGGAGAGTATTAGTGAAGTTCCTCATTGATTCAGATGCAGCCAGACTGGCATTTAGGAATCTTTGAGTCCTAGAAGGTAGTGACAGGAAAAAATGGAAGGCAAGAATTTTTTTTTTAAATACCAGCTATCAACTTTTAAGTGTGGTTTTATCCTGTTGTCCAAAGCCTATTCCTTGCCAACCTTTTCACTGTAAAAATCAAGCAAGAACATATTTTAGGGAGAAGTTTTTCTTTCATATACTCCACAGCCTGGAAGGAGGAGGAGGCTTCTGAGTGCACAAGCAGAACCCCCATCTCTGCTCACCCTACATGGACCCAGATCTGCCAAGCGAGCTGCTTCTCCAAGCTCCTCTGCAGGAGCTCAGCAGCCCTACAGGAAGGAAGCCCAGCACTCGTGTGGGGGAAAGACCAGAGATACCTAAGAGCTCTGGCCACATTTTGGGACCCCACTGCAGGCCAGGAGCTTTACAGCAGTACTGCAAATGGCCATGAGGAGAGAGTTGCTGGTATTAATCCTCAGAAGGGACAGACTGGTCATTTTATCCTTTCCGAAACTTCCACCTAAAGCTGCCTGACTTTTGGGGCTAAGAAAGCACAAGGGTATACCCAAAATCTTCACAGCCCCTCTAAGGGTGCACACATTGACTTTAAACGCTAGCAGAATGGAGCCAGGGATTTAGCTCAGAAGCACAAACACCAGACTGGCAAGCACAAGGTCATGAGTTCAATCCCCAGTACCTAAATAAATAAATAACCCCAGCATAGTGCACCCAGGCCATCCAGGCACCTGGTGTATCCGGGCTGCTATTACCAGAACTTCACCTGAGACAGCCATGCTCAGCCATGGCTCAGGTATCAGCATCTGCCTGCGCTCACCCTGAACAGCCCACAGCTGTGGTCCCCAAGGACCACAGGCATGGGAGCTGCTCAGAGCTGCCTGCACGCTAGGGAGCCTAAGACTAGATTGCTGGCTTTCCCTCTGACCTGAAACCCCATCGCCGAGAGCCCAGCCTCTGTCCTGTCAGCCTGCCATGTAACCCAACATTTTCACCTGCATATTCTCCTCAGCAAACCTGTACTGGAACCTAGGCCTGGAGATTTAGCCCGATTTCACAGATGATAGGCCAAGGCCAGTCAAGGTAAGTGCTTTGCAAAGGGAGTTTCCAGACCCTCCAAGCCTGGAGGAAGGTGCCCAGCCAGCGTTCTATCTCGCTTGAAAGAGCTCTCATGCCCGCTGCCCCTGTTGACCTGTCATGGACCCCTAAAGACGAGAACCTGGATTTGGGTGAAGGGGTGGGGATTGGGTGTGCGGTGAAGCCCCGGGCTAGGTGGGGAGGCTGTGGTGGAAGCAGGCGCTGGCCACTGACCACTGACCACGTCGCTGGGGAGCAGAAGATGGCCAGGTGCTCCTGCTAATGGCCAAAGGTGTCCCGAGTGGCTTCTCTGCCGCCCCCTAGCGGGTCTTGGGGCCCTGCTATGTAAGCACCTGGTAACTGTCCAGCGCTTTTTTTGCGGGGGGTGGGGGGGTCTTTTTCCTTTTTATCGGTACCGGGAATCGAACTTAGGACTGCCTGCTTGCAAGGCAGGCGCTTATGCCGCTGAGCTATATCTCCAGCCCCGACCTTGCTTTGAAGTTTCCATAGGGAAATGCAAAAGGGTCAGACCCAGCAACTGAGGAAGAGGCGAGCAACCAGGAGCCTCTAAGAACTAGGCTAGTGTGCATGGGGGGAGGGCAGGGAACGGGGCGAGAAAGTGGGCTGCACCCATTTCCAGGGACAACACCTGGCTTCTGGTGCCTTCTGAGGGGACCCGGCAGGACCTCGGGAAGAGGTGTGGGTAGCGAGGATGGAGGGCAGTGCGCAGCTTGCAGACAGCTGATTGAACGCTGGGTTCACAGCCTAAGCGCCGTGGAATGCGTTAAGCTAAGGGCTGCACTGAAACACCCTGTGGACCACCGCAGGACCCATTGTTACCGGACACAGCAGTGGTGCAGGCACGGGGAAGCCTCTGTGGGCTAGGAGGGAGCTCGGGTCCCTCACTCCGGCCTGCACAGGGCTTGCGGTGTAATGGCACCTAAGGATCACAGCAGCTGTCCAGTACTCTGGGAGTAACACCCTAGAAGGTGTCCCAGTGTGACGCTGCCCTCTATCCTAGCTTTCCTGGCTGCGGGACCTGAGACCTATTCCAGTCCACAGAGACGGTATACAGGCTTGGACACTCTCCACTGACTGTGCTGGTGCATGTCCTCCTGGCTCCTGCTCCTCCCTCCGCAGCCCCACTAGGTGCCTCAGCAGCGCCTAGAGCTGGGGGGTTTGGGGGGGTCACACAGAACCGGAATGATCTGGTTTGGGGCAGGCTCCCTCCCTACTGCTTGCCCCCGCCCACCTTTCCTTCTGTGACAGGCTGGTTTCTGCCGCAGTCCCTGACCAAGGTAAACAGAGCGAGGAGGAAGACAAAAAAAAAAAAAAAAAAAAAAAAAAAAAAGAGGCCTGTTTCCATGGCAACACAGAGCGGTGGATGCAGCTGTCCGCTGCGTATGACTTCCTGGGGATGAAAAGGCTGGAAAGCCATGGGGAAGAAGGTGTCAGGCGGTGCACCGGGTGGGGTGGTTCTGGAACCTGGGGTGGGCACCGGAGTAGGAGGCAGGCCTGCGGCTGGAGTCCTACTAAAAATAGGGCTATAAACCCAGGGAGCAGAAAGTGGGTACCAGAGCTCTTGGAGGCCCCCAAGCCCAGGCCTGACAGGCTTTTTCCAGAAAACTCTTCTGAGGCAATTTAGCCAAGGGACAACCACAAAAGTGGGCTAAACCCAGGCCCAGTGACGGCTTGGGCCCTGGCACCAGTGCCTCCCTCTGCCGTGTGGGCCTCCTATGTCCACCTGGCCCCGTCCTTCACCTTTTGTTCTTTATTCATTGTCCTCTCAAGTCAGTGAGGCCAAACGAGGGTGAGTGTCACTATGAGGCCACCCAGCCTTCCTTGACTTTAAATTTTCTTTTCTTTTAAATTTTATAATCCCTACACACATTAGCACTGCTCGTTCTCTCCTGATGTGCTCATCTTGCTGATTGTCTATCAGAATGGAAGTGCGTGAGGACAGCAGTCCCGGCCTTGTTCTGTGTTCTCTTACTCTCCAGAGCCTGGCATATAGTAGGTGCTCAGTACACGCTGCTGGATGCATATGTGGAGCCACAGCTCAGTAGGCTGTGTCCTTTCCCAGATTTTCAAACATACGAGACCTTGCACTGCCACCTTTAAGACTGGCTGCAAATAGATGTAACACTATGCTGGTAAGTCACATGAGAATGTGTCGTGGTTACCCCAAAAATAAATAAGTAAAAAAGACACTAGCTTTCACAAGAGGAATACAAGTGACTACTGCTGCTGCTTTAGGCTTGCTAGCCCCAGCCAGGCTTTAATCCTTCTAGGTGGCCGTATCTGTAAAGCCATCCTATGGTCCAGTACCTTGCCTGTTAGATATAGCAGGGTGTTAAATGGTAGCTCAGGTGTGCACCCTTCCCCTGGCCTGTGCTGAAGACTTTTGGGGATTGCCAGGTGTTGTGGCAGTGAAGCAGGTCTCTGGGCTCTGATGGAGATGCAAGGAGGGAAAAGACCTCCCTTCAGAGCCATGCTGACCCATCTCGCAGCGAGCCCTGAGGTCAGCTCCCGGGGGCTCTGTGTGCTTCATGAGGCAGTGACTGTCCCCTCTGTGTCCTACCCGCAACAACAGGTTCTAACAGTTCTTTCAGCCCAAGCCCCACTTACAGGGGAGTCCCCTGAAATTTCCCATTTGCCCACCTCTTTCCTGATTGACCTACCTGATAAACTCAGGACAGTGTTTGTTGCTTGATGGTGTGTGTATGGGGGGGGGGTATTAAGATTTACAGAGTCAGAAGATGGTAATTTTTAAGAGTAATTTGCCACAGTGAATTTTCAAAGATGATAAGTTAGCATCTCAGAGGTAATTTCATAAAAAGGATTATCAGATTAATCATTGTATTCATGTGATTGTGGTGCCTGAAATAATTAATTGGCTTTCTTACAGTCAGCAATACAAAAGGGGGGCTTCTAGAAGGAATACAAGTGGCCATGTGAGATGTAAGGAAGTTTTAGGCATAAATCCCTGAGAGAATTCTTGTGGGGATTACCCTAGTGGAGTGTCTGGCCTGGGCTCAATGGCACAGGGACAAAGTAAGAACTCAAAAGCAGCTCTGGCCCCCAAGTCTCTGAAGAACCTTTGGGTGTGACTGGTGGCAGCTTGTCTGTGCCTGCTACATGTTGAACTGTCCTGCGACACCTAACCAAGCTATGTACTCACACTGACAGGTTGCTGTGACAGTGGACGAAGGTGTGGACTGGTCCACCCTATCCCTTCCAGGGCCGCTGGACCAGAACTCAGTGGGATGCTGAGGTGGGTGGCATGGGGACAGGACAGAGAGGAGCAGTCAGCTCTGAAAAATGGGTTGAATCCGGTGGAGTGGCACATGCCTTTAATCCCAGCATTCTAAGAGGTTAAGGCAGAAGAATCTCAAATTCAAGTGCAGCCTGGCAACTCAGGTGAGACCCTATCTCAAAACAAAACAAAAACAAATAATGGATCAAGAGTTCAGAATGAGGGGACCTGCAAACTGCTAGCAGCTCCTGAGCCCAACCATGGGGGATAAAAACCATCTGGTGAAGCTGCCAGGAAAGAGGAACCCCCCACATCATTGTGGTAGAAATGTAAACTAGTAAAATTAGTGTGGAAATCAGTATGGAGATTAAAAAACTAAAATTAGAAATTCCACTTGACCTAGCTATTCCCCACAGTACAGTATCAAGGTACAGTATCTTCCTGAAAGGGTTAAAGACAACATATTACAGTGATGCATACATACCCATGTTTATAGCAGCAGAACTCATAATAGCTAAATCTTGGAAACAGCTTATATGTCTATCAACAGATGAATAGATACAGAAAATTTTGTATTTATACACAATGGGTTATAACCGCCATAAAGAAGGATAAACAAGGCATTTGTAGGAAAATGGATTCACCTGGAGACCATGTTAAATAAAAAAAAAAAAACCACCCACACACAGAAGTTTAAATATCACATGGTTATTCTTATATGAGAAACCCAAAGTATAAATAAAAGCAAAAATAAAAGGTAGATAATAGGGGGCTGGAGGTTTAGCTCAGCAGCATAAGTGCCTGCCTTGGAAGCAGGCAGTCGTGAGTTTGGTCCCCGGTACTGATAAAAAGGAAAAGATTTTAAAAAATTAAAAAAAAAAAAGGTAGATAATAGGAAGGTCTTTCTCAAAGGGGAAGGAAATCAAGAGATGGATGGGGATGAGAAGAGTATTAAGATGACCAACTCCACACAGGGAATGCACTGCAAACATGTACTGTACTAATAAAAGTTAAGAAAACTATCTGGTTTCTTTTGCCTGTAACTCCCCATGTCATGGAAAGAGGGGGAATCATCAGTCTGGAGGTCACTAGAGAAGCAGGGACAGCTGTGTCGATGTAGCCATGGTTGCTCTGGGGCTTCTCTGGCCTGGGCTGCCATGAGTCACGCTCCTTAGGTGAGCTGGAAAAAGGTGCTATCCCTGCAGGGAGCTGCCCGAAGGCCAGAGGACTCAGTGTGTGGACAGGTCTGTATGGCAGGAGCCTTTCGCCTTGCTTAGTGGGGCTGCTCAGTAGCCACAGAGGGCAGCAAGACCCAGAGGCAGAGCCAGGTAGGTGGCTGTGGAAATCAGGCTCCTGGCCTATCCTAGAGGGACCCTTGGGGAGCCCTGGCCCTCTTTCGGGCCCTACTCTGTGGCCTGGCATGGAATTAGACTCAGGAGGGCCTGCCCGGGAACAGGCTGCATGACTCGCTGTCTGCCAATTGCTCCCCCTCCTCCCTGGCTTCCCACACAGCCTGCAGCCCCTGGAGAAAAGCATATTCATCTGACAGCTTCCCTGCAGCACATTCATCTGTCCTTGCTGCTGCCTCTGCTCCAGCAACCCCTCGCCTGCCCTCTCAGCCTGCCATGCAGCCTCCACCTCCATGCAGGTCCATGGCTCAGGACAGCCCTACACCTGGTAGGCGGCTGTGTCTTTAAGAGCTCTCTCTGATCACGCCAGCATGCCTAGCTGGGAGACATCTGGGAAGTGAGTGGTCAAGCTGTCTCCTCTTAAGCCACGGCCAGAACTCTCCTGATTTCCCCTCAAGGAAGAGAACAACAGGGCAGCCTTGTCGCTTTGACTGGAAACTACAATAGTTTAACCCAAGTAGGCAAGAGTAGGTTCTGCAGTGTCCCATAAGCGTGGTGACCCAGCACCATGGGGTTGGCCTGATGGGGAGAAAAAGGAGAAGTGGGCCATCTTCTGGCAGAGATGCCTCTGATGTCAGCTTCGAGCAGGGCTCGGGTGCCCCAGGGCCTCCTGGGCTCTGGAGCCTTCTGTATAATGAGAGAGTCCAACTGCTGATCTCCAGGGCTTTTCTCTAAAGGATTATGACTTCAGGATTACAGAAGTGCTGGATAGTTCCTTATTGCCAGTTCCTACAGAAAGGAGACAGTGAGCTAGTTAAGGAAGGACTGATGAGTCTACCTCCACAGCAGTCACTGTTCCTGGAGTCAGGCCCAGCCCAGGCTCAGGAACACATCAGGACCTCTTTCCTGGTGGCAGGCTGTTGGTCTGATACCCGTCTCTGCTATTGCACTGGGATTATTAGCCAGACATGGCTCTGGCCAGACTCCCTTAAAGCTATGGGTCTGCATGATGAAATGCTGGCCAACATGACATACATGGAAGTGTCTGCCACCATTCAAGCTCGCTTTCCTTTGATGGGAGGCAAATCTATTCTGATTTTTCTGAAAAATTCAGGAACTATGAAAAATAAACTGAATTGGGGCTGGGTTTTAGTTCAGTGGCATAAGCACCTGTCTGGCAAGCATGAGGTCATGAGTTCGATCCCCAGTACCACAAAAAAAAAAAAACAAAAAACAAAAAAACAAAAAAACAAAAAACCCCGAATATTTGGCTATACCAAAGCAAAATACAACTTTAAAATAACACATGAAAATCATGGGGAAACATTTCAAAACTCCAGGTTAAACTTTGTTCTCTACAAAGCAGAGTAAGTTCACTAAGCCATAGTAACACTATGGTGGTTTTTAAATTTTTAACCAATTATGATTTTTTAAAATAAGAAAACCTTAAAAAAAAGCACTCAATTCCCATCCTGAAATCTCATCATTTGTAAAATAATACACCCAAATGTTAGTGAAAAAAAAAAAAAACAGGAGATACACTTGGAAATCCTTCAATGAATGAATAAAGATTGCAACAGAGCTTAATCCTTATAGTTGGGGAAAAAAGGCTTGTGTCACACTCAGGTTCTACCATATACAAAAACAAAACAAAACAAAACCACCTCAGAAGAACAGTGACTAAAAACAAGCTATAAAGTCAGATTTTTCCTGTAGAGGAAAAGCTTTATAAAGCAAAAGGAATCCAGCTAGTTCCACAGCCTTGCATGTTTCTGTATGGTCATAAGCATACAGTTTATTCCCAGAATTCCTTTGTCTCACACTATCAAAGTAAAATGTCTGTTTTAGAACAAGTCTGCTAATGGAGACACCAAGATCTTATCCTTCCTGTTCTCCCAAATGATACTAATATTCTAGCCTTTCAAGATGCTTTCAGCCTCATTAAGAGTCAGCATTCTAGGTTAAGTGCACTTGTGTAAGCCTGTAACCCGTTACTCAGGAGACAGATGCAGATCGAGCCAGTGTGGGCAACTTAGATCAAAACTGAAAATAAAAAGGGCTGGAACAGTGGCTCAGTGCTTGCCTCACATGCTCAGGTCCTGAGAACCCAGGGTCTTTGAAATGAGTTAAATATTAGCCCTTTTTAATTCTGAGATATTGATCCTCCTGCCTCTCAGCTTTCCAGGTTGTTGGGATTATAAGCACATGCATCATGCCTGGCCTTTTCCTTGTCCCCTCCTTCTGTGCCCTTCTCCTCCTCTTCCTTTTCCTCCTTTTTTTTTTTTTTTTTTTTTATTGTACTAGGGATTGAAACGAGGGCCTTCACATTAAGCTACTTCCCCAGTGCTTTTTTACTTTGTATTTTGAAATAAGATCTTACTAAGTTGCTAAATTCCCCATGCAGGGCTTAAACTTGTGATCCTTCTGCCTCAGCTGCCCAGGCATCCAGCACCTTTTTAAACCGCTAGACTAAGGGAGAGTCTCCCATCAATTTCTCACTCTGTAGTTTTCTCTTTCTTTGAAGTATGAACTTTTATTTACACTCCTTTCCTCCTAATTTTTACATTAAAAAATATATGACATTGAAAGGTTCTTCAAAAAAATTGAAAACAATCATTCATATTCCCACTCCAACAAGTGGGTTCACATTTGGATTTTCTTTTCTGGATACAAGTATTAGATCAGCATGCATATTTTTATGTAATTGTAATTACAGTGGACCCAAAACTTTGATTCTTTTTCACTTATTTTTAAAAATTTATTGAAAAAAGTCAAGGCTTTTGCTTCTAGCGCTACTAACAGATCATCCATGGATACACTGGACAGGCTCAAAATGTCCACCTCGGCCACTAAATGCAATAGCTTTTTCCCATTACTAAGTCTTATCCCATTGGTACCATCCAGAAGCCATGTCGATGATTATGGAGTACATGTGTAGGACATTTGCTTACAGGGAGGTCACACGTTTTGTACCCCTTGTCAGTGACCCTAGATTCCTGTTGGGTGTGTTGTAAACAGAGAAGCCATTCTTCAGGCCATCTGCTCTGAGCACCCCCTTGTTTTCACTTCTACCCAGCATTTCCCCGCTCATCCTGCACAGCCTTTTCCAAGTTGGAGGACTTTTAAAGAGAGGTCAGAACAAAAGTCTACTGGCATCTCATAGATTTCAACGTCGCATTTCACAATTGGGGTGCTGTAATTTTTAAAGCCATTTTATACTGGACATGGGTTTTGTTGATAGTGGTTATACACTGCAAATTATCTAAAGGAAGAAGTCTATCTTTTTTGTATTCCTAGCCCCTAGCAAAGTGCTTCAGTCAATATTTATTAGCTAGATGGACAGATAATGAACAAATGCACATAACAAATAGCTTTAGGCATAACTTCTCTTTTCTGTTGAATTATTCCTGGAAGCTATGAGTCTAAGCTTATTAATTTTTTGGCGCTGTACATTATGGTAATTATGTTCTCCAAATCTAGCCACACCAATATATGTATGCCCTGTGGGACCAATGCAGTGATGGGGACAGTCCCCTGGGGGGTGGGCAGGAAGAAGTGCTGTAGCCTCCCATGGCATGCGCCCCAGTGCAGCTCAGCAAGTCTGAGAGGCCTGGCTTTGCATCCTGCTGAGGACCTCAGGCAGTGAGACTGCGTGGCTCTTCCTTCCCCGTGGCCATAAATCTTTTTTTTTATTTGTCTCTTCCTTCCTTCCTTCCTTCGTTCCTCACCTCTTTCCTCCCTCCCATCCTTCATTCCTTCCTTCTCCCTGCTCTGTTTTCTTTTTCTCCCCCCTCCTCTGTCTTTGCAGGACTAGGGATTGATCACACTGACCTACATCCCTATCCTTTTTAAAAGTGTTTTGAGATAGGATCTCACTGAGTTGCCCTGGTGGGACTTGAAATTGTGGCTCTCTTGCCTCAGTCTCCCGAAGTGCTGGGGCTGCAAAGCAGTTTTCTCAGAGCCTGTTGGACAGGGCGTGGAGCTTACATGGGGCTCGCTGCTCTTCCTTTGTATCAGTTTAGAGTCAGCTGCCAGCTCCTTGCTTCTTTCCTTCTCTGCCACCCTCTACCCACAAGCCAGAAAGCTCTCATGATCTGCAGGGAAGGCACATTCACCACAAATTCCAGCCCATGGAAAGCAAGGAGCTGCTTTTCAAGTGACCCTTGTTTACTTAACCCAGTTATCTCGGCAAATATTTACCAAGCATCTCACAGTACTTGTCTTAGGCACTCCTAGAACCAAAGTCTTAACTGAGCTGCTGCAGGAGAGACCCAAAGTTTTGTTCAGGCATTTGTTTTAGCAGTACCCAGCTACTGTGCCACCAACACAGGGCGTATGAGGACCCCAGCTGAGTGTGGTGGCACATGCCTGTCATCCCAGCACTTGGGAGACAGGCAGGAGGATCACTGTGAGTTCCAGGCCAACCTGAACCACAAAATGAAAGGAGGGGACATCGGGGACACATGCAGATCTGTAACAGAAACTACTGGGATGGGTGAGTGGGAAATGCAGGTGTGAGGAGAGACAAGAGATTTATGTAGGTGCAGCAAACAGTTTAAAGGGAAGATCATTTCTCTGGTTACAACACAGATAATGTCTAGTGTCTACCATATTGTAGAATGTGGGTTTCTCAAGTATGATCCAAGCTGCTTGGTCTATGTGGTCTTGGTCACTACTTTAATTCCTTAACTCGAGGAATTTCCAAGACAGCACTAAAAAAGAAAAGGTTAAAGAACTCATGTGGAACATTCAACTGGAGGCAGAGTGTCATCCTTGGCTTATTTTTAGGGCTGGCCAGCTACCCTGAGATGGAAGCTGTGTATAATACCTCAAGCCAGCAGGTTCTAGGGCTGCCGGCTTCAGGGCAGACTTCATTCTGTGGGTCTGTCTCTCAGGCAGGGGACCCCTCGGGCCCAGGCTCCCTGTAGATGGTTTCCCTCTCCTTAAAAGAGACACAGCAGTCTTGCTTTGCAGCTGGAGCTCAATAAACTGGTGCCTGCATTCTGGGGCAAAAGCATCACAGAGCAACCTGATACGCTACACGACAGGTGCTAGCCATGCCTACTGGATGCTCCTGAGAAAACGAGTTTGGTGCCCAGCAGAGCAGATCTTCTTCCTACAGGATGCAGCTAAGGGAAACACTCTGATTCATTTGTTATTTTTTCCTGACAGTTTAGAAGTGGGAAAGGAATGAGGGTGTGTATGGGACACAAGGCCAACACTGTCCAGAACTGAGGACTGACCAGGTGTTGGGGGTGGTACAGTGGCTGGGCTGGAAGGTGGATGTGACTTAACAGGGCCATGAAGAGTTACATGCGTCCCAGCACAACCCAAAAATAAGCATTGCTTTCCGATGCCGAGGCTACTGCCTAGCTCTACATTGATTAAAACAGACCTTTAAAAGCCATTTTCTCCATTAAAGGCACTATCATTCATTATTTTCACTCTTAGCTTCTCAATTATCTCTGAGGTGTGAAGAGTTACCTAATAGTCAAATCCACATGGGAAAGATTAATTGCCCTGCCCATTAGGGATGGAGCCCATCCAAGCCAGTGGCTCTTCTAGCTAGAATGACTGGAATATTCACTTTGGTTTGGGGGCAGGGGGCGATTTTGGGGGTGGTGGTGCTAGGACCTGTGCACTGAGTTGCATCTCCAGCCCTTTGTAGTTTTTGAGAGGATCTCACTAAGTCACCCATGCTGGGCTCAACCTTGTGGATCCCCCTGCCTCAGTTTCCCAGAGTGGAGCTGGGATTACAGATGTACACAATGCCTGGCAGTGTCTGGGATTGTGAGCTGTGGAAAAATACTGTCACTCACTGCTGTCCTTGGTGGTGACCTGTGCCATGCCATCCTGCTGCATTGGGCCTTTTCCTAATGCTTTCGGAAATGCCATCCTCTGGAGTCCACAACCTTCCCGCCCACATCATTCCAGGTCAGTGCACTTTAGTCAATGTGCAAACAGGATTATGATGACTGTGCAGGGATTGTGTGAGATGTGGCTCAGAGCTGATGCCTAACCATCCTGCAGACCTGCAGAAACTGCTGACATACCCAGTGACTTTGGCTATGGTGCTGGGGCCCAAGAAATAGTCCTGTGTAGTGCAGACCCCCCACTTTTCTAGGTGAGTGGATGGCCCCACCTGGATTGCTGCCAGAAGTCCTCCTGCCAGCGCCTCATTATGCATGAAGACATCTGCTGCAACCTAGTCTAGGGGCAGGAGTTGGTCTTGCCAGGGATCCCTGTGGTACCTGGAAAAATGTCTAGTGGCCTCACCCTCCGGTCACTAAGGAGCCCCCTGAAGCATGTGCAATCAGCTATTGTTTTCCTCTGCACAGTTTGGGGCCTGGATTGTTTCCCATATGCTGAGAAAATGCAGCCTTCCCTAAAAAGTAGCTTCAGTGATTAGCAGGTACTATATTCCTGAACAGCAGAACTTCTAGCTAAGACTAGTAACTCAGTTCTTGGGTGAACACGATAGAAGACTTTATGCCCACTGTTAGACTAAAAGTCATTTCCAAATCCATCCGCATGGCTGCTGAGTGCCAAGAAGAGCACAGATCTCATCACCCTTGGGGAGAACGCCTGCCAGCTGGCATGGTCAGGACCAGGTCCAAACAGCAGGCTCAATCAGAGTGAGTCTCAGGACAGCAGAGCCACAGCACTGGAAAGGGCCTCCCCTGAGAGGTGAAAACACATGGTGGGGAGCACAGAGAACCCAACAGCCAGCAGTCTGTGCTGGCCAGCGTCTAGGATCAGGTACTGAAGGCCAAGCCAAGTTGGGGCCAGATTGTGGAGGGCTTTAAATGTCAGGCTGCAGAATTTATCAGGGAAAGTGAAATGATCAAACAGGTGTTTCAGGAAGATAAATTTGAAGAGAATGTGCAGGATGAATTGGAAAATCTGGAAGCATGGCAACAATTAGGAGCCTCTGAGATTAATTAGGCTGTTGCAGGAGTCCTGTGCAAGTTGATAAGGGTGTAAATGAGCACAGTGGTGGCCGAAAGGGAAAAGGGACAGTTGCAAGAGTCATTGTTAAGAAGCAATGGTTGAGGTTTGCTGTCTGATTGGACTGGGGACCCAGGGAGCTCAAGGAATCAAAGACACCAGAGTTCCCAGGTTGGGAACTGGTAGGATGATGATCAGAGGGAGGAAAGTAGAAGTGGGGGCCGGTCTGGGTGGATGTGACTCAGTTCCAGGAGTAGGAAGTTGCTGGTCAGGAAAGGAACACAGGGCTCATGAGAATGTGGCACTCGCTGATGAACTCAGCACCGTGGGAAAAGGAAATCACCGAGTGCAGCCATGGAGGGAAGCACATACAGGGAAAGAGCTGACCACAGTGGCCCGTGAAGGGACGTCCATGGGAGCAGGGTTCACCTTATGAAGCTAGTTATACAGCTGCATGTTCTCGCCATTAAAACACTTAGACAGAGAAACCCAGGTATCATAGCACTTTGATGTGTCAGTAGGAACTAAATTATAAATTAGTTTGCCCTGAGAACAAATTTTGTTTAAGGTTGATATTGACATAGGAAGACAATGATAAAATGACACAGAAAACACTCTAGCTTAGTGGATTCAAGGAGTCAAGTAATCACAAGAAAACTTGTGACATATCCTAGAGATGACATCTGGCCAGTGATGTTAGTTGATATTGATTTATTCTAATAAAAAGTTAAAAAACCTTCCTGCTGAGGGTACTGGTCAGTAATAAAGTATGTGTTCACTAGGGATAAAACCACAGTTTGATCCCCAACAGAAGAAAAAAAAAATAACTGCTGTATCTGGAGTGCATTATTTTTCTGAATGTTGTAGTCAAAGTAATTCACCAAAGTTTTTTGTTTTGTTTTGTTTTTTAATTATTGGGCATGGTGCACATGCCTGTAATCCTAGCAGTCTAAGATGTGGAGGCAGAAGGATGGCAACTGTGAGCCTGGCCTGGACAACTTAGTGACACCGCAAGACCTTGATGCATGTGCGCGCGCGCGCGCGCACACACACACACACACACACACACACACACACGATGGAGCTGTAGCTCAATGCAGAGGCCCTGGGTTCAATCAGCCTTCAAGATGGTGCTTAGGTGTCTGGGAGGGACTTATATTTAAGTACACATCAGCTCAAATATTTTTGAAGTTAATATGGGAAAGCTATTTAGCAAACCATACTCACTTAACATGTACATAAGACCTCTTTTTTTTTTTTAAACTATGTATCCCTATTTTTTTTTTTTTTTTTGTCTTTTTCCTTTTCATCGGTACCAGGGATCGAACTCACGACTGCCTGCTTACAAGGCAGGCGCTTATGCCGCTGAGCTAAACCCCCAGCCCCTATATCCCTATTTTTTTGACAATCATTTAAGAAACAAAATCAAACACAGTATGGAGAAAGGCTTAGTACACTGCTTGTTTAACATATACAAATCCTGGGTTGGATCCCCAGCACTGGAAAAAAAAAATCTTTGAGTCTAAAAGCTATCTTAAACCTATAAAGAAAAAGACCTTTGTCTTTATGTAACATCAAAATTATTCTTAACATTTTTAGTAAAGAATATATTACTACAGTTTAGCAGCCATTTTTTTTTTTTTTTGTATTTTTATTGGTACCAGGGATCGAACTCACGACCACACGGTTACAAGCAGGCGCTTATGCTGCTGAGCTAAATCCCCAGCCCCTACAGGCATTGTTAATATGACCCTATATTTAGCCTACTTCAGCAATACGCTTTTAAAACACTGTCACAGCAAACAGTTTTAACATTGCAAAAGCAATTAAAAGCCTTCTTTTTGACATCAACTTTTAAAATACAAGAACTTTTTGAAAATTTGAAAAATTTACAAACTATACAAAAGGAATGCATATACAGTACTTGAAAAGACACGAGGTTTAGCCATTTCCAAATTTATATGAATGTGATGAAGCAATCTCTGTAACATTTCATCCATAAAATACAGGCAATGCAACTGCTGCTTCTCATAGCTTGGTATCTTTTCACTCTCAAGTATTTTGAAAATACTGTGTCTGAAAACTTTTAAATGGAGAGGACATCAATAGCATCATAAAGAGAACCCTAAAAATAACACAATATTACAGAACAGTGAAGCAGAGCTGCTAAAACCAAAGGTGGGGCAGTGTTCTTGACGTCCACACACTCTTAACTAAAACTCGGTTAATTCTGCCAACTCAATTTAATTCAAGCGTTGACATTTTAAAATGCTAATACTATCAAGCCTCTTTCAATAATCTTTAAAATATATACCTGGAGTAATGAATACATTATTTAGAAACTGATTTCATTTCTTTGAATACAGGGTCTAGACTGATCTATAGAACCCTGGGGGATTACAGAGATAAAATCAGCACAGTTTCTTTCATTTTAAGTATTTATACTACTAAATAACATGACTAAAAACCATTTGTGAGTAGAAGAATCAGATGGATAATGCTTATTTGGGGGTTATAATGAAAAACAGGTACTCCATTTATTTAACTAAGCGGTCCTGCAACATTTGCATTTTTTAAATAAGTCCAGACCTTTGTGATTTTTGTATCAACTAACATGTCCAAACAGAAATACTGTTTGGAATGGAAGACATAGGACATATTTTCACAAGAAAATGTTATACTAGCTAATTTTTTTTTATCAAATCTCACACACATATGCTGCTTATTTCAGAAGGGGCAGTGGCTAAGAGATCCTTAGGTTCAACTTCTTCCGCTTCAATAAAACTTCAAGTGTTTGGAATGAAATGATCACTATTCGCCAAAAATCCATAAAATATTCACACCAGATAGACCAAGATTAACTCTCCTATAAAGAGAAAAAACAGTTTTAGTAAAATTGCTTGCCAACTATTTAAGGTCTTTTTCTAATAATGAAAACAAGAATCTTTATAAGAAATATATGTTTAATTGATCACTTGTAGGCCTCTGTCTCTCAAACAGTTCTGTTACACTCTGACACAGTACGTTGATCTTTTTGTTACGTGCATTATGTTTGGTTTAACATCTTTTTATACACATATGCAAATTACCTAAGCACACCAAATAGTGAATTCCTAATTCCTAATAGTGAATTAATGCAGTTATGCAAGAAATTATGTTATACATGGTTTATCAGGTGAATAGTGGTAATAGTAATTACTTTCTTAGTTTTTTTTGGTACTGGGGATCAAACTCATGACCTTGTGCTTGCCAGGTAGGCGCTTATGCCACTGAGGTAAATTTAGTTTGTACTCCAGCAACTACTTTTTAACTGCTTAAAATTCAGGTTTGGAATAAATGGATTTATGGAATGTTGAAAATAAACTTTTTACTATCATAACAGATAACAGAACTAATGAAATAATATTAGTAATATTAGAATATCATTTAAATTTTAAAAATGGCCAGAGGGAGAATTACAGTGAGTTTGAGGCCAGCCAGGGCTATATAGTGAATTCAAGGCCAGTCTGAACTATATAGCAAGATCTTATTTCACAAACCTACACCACCTCAAGAAAACCATCAAAATGGAGGATAAAGAGACTCAAGGCCTCTTAGAGAACTGACCTGCTTGACTTGAATTAGGAATTCACTACTAGGTATGCTTTAATGAGTTTGCATATGTGTATAAAAATGTTAAACCAAACATAATGCACGTAACAAAAAGATCAATGTACTGTGTCAGAGTGTAACAGAACTGTTTGAGAGACAGAGGGCTACAAGAGATAAAGTCACTCACAAAACAAGGAATCAACCAGCATATGTCTCACACTGAAGAATCCAAAAAGATCTGCATACCTGGATTATTGGAACTATGATGATCATAACAGAAGGAATAGCTAAAAATGTTTTAAGCAGTTGTCTTTGGGAAAGAGAAGTAGGTTTAGGGTTATAGGCCTGGAACTACTCCTATCATGAACCTTTTTGTCCTAAATGACTTTTAAAGTTATGATATTATTAGTTTTGATAAAAATTAAAAACACAGCTGTTATAAAAAATGCTTCAGGGGCTGAGTGTTTAGTTCAGCAGTGTAAGCGCCTGCTTGGCAAATGCAAAGTTGCGTGTTTGAGCCCTGGTACCAAAAAAAAAAAAAAAAGTTCAAAGCAGGTAATTTCGGTCAGTGTTTTCCCATTTCTTCACACCATTACCAATAATGCAAATCATTAATCTTAATTTGATAGGAAAAATGTTTTTAGCTTTGGCTTGTCTAAACAAGAGGCTTTGATCTGTGATTATTATTTTTTTTTTTTGGTACCAGAGATTGAATTCATGACCTTGCACTTGCTAGGCAGGCACTTATGCCACTGAGCTGAATCCCCAGCCCCTCTATTTATTACTAGTTATTTTTTAGCACTCAGTCTGAGGCAGTGCAGAGAAAATGATAGCGATAAGAAGGAGACAAAATAGGAGGAAGAGGCCTTTAATGAGAGAGCATGGGAGAGGCTGCGAGGGATGCAGAGGCTCTCTTGCTAGACAAAGGGCTGGGGGCTGTTTCTATTTACTCTTATGGGGTGGTGCTAAACTAGCTGGAGACAGTGGAGCAAGAGTGTTATTTTATCTAGGACTGAATTGCCTTTGGCTTAGGCAGGAAGGAAAGGCAGGAAGTCTATTTTGGGTCTGGAGCACCTGAGAAAGAAGACTGATAAGGTGTCTTTGTATGGTCTACTCAACATGTTAGACCTGCAACCATGATGACGGGTAGATTTATGTGGCTAAAAACAGACCTGCCTGGGCCACACAATGAGTTTAAGGTCCACCCGAACAGTGAGACCTTGTCTCAAAAAAAACCAAAAACCAAAACAAATCCCACCAAAACCACACAAAATAGTTCTTTAAAATATATTAAGAATAATCATAAAGTATTTATATAATATTAGTAATATAGCAAATTCTATATTATACATCTAATATATATGTTTGGACATGATTATAACTGTTCTTAGAAACTAGAAAAATGTATTTACTGACATGGAAAAATGCCATAATCTACTGTGAGATTAAAAATCTGGTCTCAGAGTACTAAATTTGGGAATAATACATTTTTAAGCAAAGAAAAACACAATAGATTTTCTCAGAAAGTGGTCTGGAGATATAAATCCAGCACTGTTAAGCCTGTACACCTTATGAAATGTGAACAGAACGAGAACGAGCAGAGTGGTATCTTCACTTTCTATGTTTTAACCTGTTTTACAGCTTAAATATTTCTCTACCAAACACATGTTATTGGGGCTGGGGATTTAGTTCAGTGGCATAAGCGCTTGCCTTGCAAGTGTGTGGTCATGAGTTCCATCCCCAATACCGATTAAAAAAAAAAAAAGTAGAAAAAAACAAACACATATTATTTTTGTAATTAAAAATGCACAAAGAAACTATGTTTGTTAGTTTAAATGGCTCACAAAAGTGACTCTTCTACTTGATCTTCTTATATGAAAAGTATGTATGGTAAAAGTGGCTGATAAATGTTTATCAATTTCTGTCTGACACTTTTGGGCAGGTGGAGGAGGTGACACAGGGTCTTGCTATGTAGTTCAGGTTGGTCTTTTTTTTTCCAGGCTGGTCTTGAATTGTGGCAATCCTGCTTCAGCTTCCCAAGTAGTAGGATTATAGGCATGCACCACTATATCTGGCCTGTTTTACACCTTTTATATCTAATATATTTAAGGTGAGGAGCTTTTCTTTCTCTAGAACAGTGCTGTCCAATAGAAACATAATATGATGCGGGCCTCAAATGCAAATCACATACATAATATTGAATTTTCTGAAGACATTTAAAGAAGAAACAGATGAAATTAATTTTAAGACTATATTTAACCTGATATATCCAAATAGTATTTATGTGTCTAATATACAAAATTATTAAGAAAATACTTTGCTTCTTTTAATATTGTGTCTGTGAAATTGGATATATATTTTATATTGCAGGCATTTCCATTTTATCCATGTTCCAGGTGCTCAATAACTGCAGTGGCCAATGTAATTCTGGACTACCTCTAAATTATGAATAAGATGCCCAGGGTGGTAGCCCATTCCTGTAAACCTAGCACTCAGAAGGCTGAGAAACACTGTGAGTGTGAGGCTAGCCTGAACTACACTGTGAGGCCTTGTGTCAAAAAACAAAACAAAACCCAACCAACCAACAAACAAAACCCCTCAAACCCCCAAAACCTTTTAACAGAGAGATGTGCATAAAGCAGAAATGACTACAGATGCTCTCTGATCTGAGCCCTTCCCTACATTCTGTTAACCTTAAGTGCTTTGTATGCAGAGCTGGACCCAGAGCAAAGGTCTCCAGGCTCATGGATCATGTACTACCAGATTTCCCTGGCTTAACCACAGATCTGCTTAATTCAAGTATTATTTGATGCTCTAAAATTCTACATTATCAAAATCACAATGCTGAAAGTTTGAACTATTTATGTGAGTTCTGTTACTAAGTATGTAAGTAATTTTAACAGACTATTTTTCATTTTAGCATTTTGGGATGGGTACCTTTCTCTCCAAAAGTATAAACAAATTTTTAGAATACTTTGAAATGGAATAGCTCAGGAAAAAAGAGATTTAAAGTTTTAACTTTCAAGTGGCAAGAACCTGCTTTTTGGGAAAGGTCTCCCTATATAGTTTAGGCTGCCACTGAACTCACTATGTGGCCCAGGTTGTCTTCGAACTCTTAAATGATCATCTTGCCTCAGCCTCTCAAATGCTGGGAATTACGGGTGTGCCTACCATGCCTGGCCTGTTTTTTATCTCTCAGTGATGTGGTCCAACTGCTTTTTATCAGTAAGGAAAGGGAGGTTCTGAGGAAATAAAGAACTTGCCTAAAACAGAAGAGCCCACTCATGACAGAGCTGAGGTAGTACTAAAAGCGAAATCCAGGGTTCAGTCCACAAATCTTTTGTTATGTGATGCTACCTTTTATAGAATCTTAACACAGACAGAACAACAGAAAGTACTTGTGTGTGTTTTTAATTTTTTGAGACAAGGTCTTGCTATAACCTTGACTCACTGTACAACCCAAGAGGGCCTGAATTTGATGGGTCCTCCTTCCTTTGCCTTGTGAGTGCTAGGATAGGTGTGCACCACTATGTTTGTTAATATATACATTATTTTTTTTTCCTGATCTTTTTGTAACAAGGTCTCTCTATGCAGTTTGGGCTGGCCTTGCATTTACTTTGCAGCTCAGCCTGGTCTAGAACTTGCAATAATCCTCCTGTCTCAGCCTCCCAAGTGCTGGGATTACAAGTGTGTGCCACCCATCATGCTTTAAAAACATACTTTTAAAGCATACTTACCCAAGCATTCCTGACTCTTTTGTCTTTATGATGTAGAGGAACATTAATAATGTATGAAACATATTATTTCTGCCCTAGAACCAAGACAAAAAAAAGACAAGACTTAAACTAAAGTGAAAAGATTCAACCAGGTAGGTAAATGCAGTTCTAAACAATTCGCATCCCATACGCAGATTGCCACACAACTCAGATTTTCACACACTTATTTATTAAACAAAGTACCTATCCTTTGGGCTAGGAAGTAAGAACAATGGAGCAAATAAGAAAGAAAGGATCCATGTAATCAAAAAATTTATCATCAAATAGAAAAGGCAGATAGTAAATTAAGGGTTCCAACAGAGCACGTGGAATCTTGCGACAGGTGTGAGATGCTATGGCAGCAAAGGAAGGCATCTTCTCTAGACTGCTGAGGGGTGCACTGTTTCTTTCTTATTTTCTTTTTTCTCTTTTTTCCCTATCTTTAATTTTGTTTTTTTTTTCAGATAGGGTACCACTATGCAGCCCAGATTGATCTTGAACTCGCTATCTTTTGCCTGTCTCCTGAGTGCTAGGGTCACAGTTTTGTGCCACCACCCCTGGCTCAAGACTTTAAAGTCAAAACCTAAAACATAAAAAGAAAGCTAACACACTGAGTAGGTTTCACAACTGGGAAAAGCATCCAGTAAGACCTATTCTGGGGGCTGAGGATTTAGCTCAGCAGCATATGCGCCTGCCTTGCAAGCAGGCAGTCATGAGTTCAATCCCCGGTACCGATAAAAAGGAAAAAGACAAAAAACAAAACAAAACAAAACAAGACCTATTCTGAAGTTGGTGGCCCTGTGCACTACACACAAATAATGCTGTATTTCAGCCAGACATGGTGCCACACACCTGGAACTGGTGTCTGAGGCAGGAGGGTCACAAGTTTTGGGTCCAGCCTAGGCAACTGAGTACACCCTTTTTCAAAATAGAAAAAATTAAAAGTGTGGGGTATGGGGCTATACCTCAGTGAGAAGGCTATAGGTTCAATCTCTAGTATGCCCAAAACCAAACCAAACCAAAACAAACAGCTCTTTCCACAAAACTAACACATCAATAAGAGTGTTAGGATAAAAGAGCTTTTAGATATTCTTCAAAATAAACATGTTAAATATATTTTATCTTATAAGGATCTCCTAGGTATCAACTGCTAGCTCTAAAATCTAACTATTATATGTAATTATTGGTCTATAAAAATGCTAACTTAGGGCTGGGGATTTAGCTCAGTGGCTTAAGTGCCTGCTTGGTAGGCAAAAAGTTGTGAGTTCAATCCCTGGTACCAAAAAAAAAAGCTGACTTACATTTTCAAATTTTACCAATTAACTTCTAAGAGTTAGCTATTTTAAACTGTGCTGCTTTAAACATTATAGCACTAATTTTTAAAAGCAGTGTGTAGGAATATATAAGTAATTTCAACCTACAAAAAAAAAAAGATCAAAATTAAATTTTCTAAAAGGTAAAATTACATCCAAATGTTAATCACAGCTGTCTCTGAATAAGTGATTTTTCTTCACATTCTTTTGGGTTTCTGGCTGTACTGGACACTGATGTCAGGGTTCTGCACTGAGCTATATCCCTAGCCCTTTATTTATTTTTAAAATTTTACTTTTTATTTTAAGACAGCATCTTCAGATGGGGCTGGAACTTGTGATCCTCCTGGCTCAGCCTCCTGGCATAATAGTATTACAAGTGTGAGCTACCACATCTGGCTTTTTTCTTTATACTTTTGCAAGTGAAAACATTACTTTTATAGCGAAAAGAAAAGAATAATAAAATAATGAAAGACATTTCACCTAATTTGAAAAGCTTAATATTTTTTCTACAAATAAGAGAGTCTAATTTTAAAAACAGTATCAAAGTAAGTCATCCATCCAAGCAGCAATTTCTATGTATAGAAAATACCTTTGGAAGATTGTACACATGGCGCTGGTAGATGAGTTCATAATGTGGGGGGTTGATAGCACTCTGATAAATGCAGAAAACATTCTCATTTGTAACATCTATAAAAAAGATATTTTACATTAAAAAATGAAATCACTGGGAGACTGCATGTGAAAAACTCAACATGTTCTTTCAGAAGTTTATACCTGGCTTATTTGGTGTCTGAACAAAATGCTGAGATGTAAATGTTTTTCCATCAGGATACTTAGGGTGTGGAGGTAATCTGGAATCGAGGTAGGTACAAAACACATGCATAATTATCTGAAGGGGAGAAAATAGTTGGGCTAAGTTAGCTAAGATGCAACGCTTCAAACATTTACAAAGATTACAATTATAACATTTTTTTCCTAAAAAGGGAGCAATAAAAATCCTTAAGTAGCTATTTAAGATAACATTTATGGAATGAAAGATAAAAATCCCCTAATTCGGGGCTGGAGAAGTGGCAGAATGCTTGTCTAGGCTGTGTAAGACCTGGGTTCCATCCCCAGTACTGAAGTGAGAAAATCACAATGCAAGAATTAAATTTATTGATACATTTTAGGTACACAGAATGATCACATTCCTTATAGGTAATTTGTATCTGTACATGATATAACTTATTAAATCTTTTTAATCAAAATTATTATTTTTTTGGTAAATCCCTGACCCTAATTAAAATTATTAGTTGTGCGAAAGTACTCACAAATATAATCTTTACCTCTCAAACTGTAAAGGAATTCACTGGGTTTAATAGCTGAAGTCAGGCCTAGTTCAAATAGTTAACTCAAAATTTAACTGAAAAAGTTATCTGCCATCAAACCTACCTACCTGTCCATCCATCCATGCTTTTATCCATCTTTTTTTGCTTACTGGGAACTGAGCCCATGACTTTACACATGCTAAGCAAGCACTCTATTACTAGCTACGTCCTCAGATCTTTTTAATTGCCTATGCTGGCCTCAAACTTGTGATCCTTCTGCTTCAGCCTCTCAAGCTAACAGGTATGCACCACCACACCTGCTAAATCATTCTATATTTTGATAGGAAAGTTTACTTTCTATATGTAAAAATATGTAATATGTCAGCCTATAAAGTAACCAATTATCTGTGTGTAACAGAAGGAGATACAGGGGTGGAGGCGGTTTAAACACCAAACTTCTATTCCCTAAATATTTTATTTTCATTTTTGCTTTTTTATAGCAATCCTAGAAGAGCAGGTCTTTGTTTTCTATTAAAGGGATCATTAATACCTCCCATACAGTTAATTAACATAAAAAACAAGATAAAACAGACATCTACCCAATACTCAATCTGAATATTTAAAAACAATATTTAAAACATTTAAAACTTGTTATAGTTACTACACAGGTCATAAAAATTTTTTCACATTTAAAAATCAATAGCTTGGCTGGGGAAAATTTACTCAGTGTCACAAGCATCTGCCTGGCAAGCACAAAGTCATGAGTTTGAATTCCTGGTACCAAAAAAGATTAAAAAAAAAAAAAAAAAAAAAATCAATGGCTTTTTAATATACCAATAATGAACTACCAAAGAAAGAAATCAGGAAAGTAATTTCATTTGCAATAGCTTAAAATGTGTGTGTGTACCTTACCGAGCAGACCAAAGATGTCAAAATTGCAGAACAATCTGGGCACAGTGATGCATACCTGCAATCCCAGCACTTGTGGGAGGACCACCATGAGTTTGAGGCCAGCCTGGGCTCCACAGTGAGTTCAAGGCCAGCCTGAACTACAAAGTGAGACCCTGTTTCAAAAGTCACCCCCCTCAAAAAAAAGCAATCTACAGATTTGATGCATTATCAATTAATATCTCTCTCTCTTTTTTTTTTAAAATTGGTACCGGGGATCGAACTCACGACCACTTGCTTGTAAGGCAGGTGCTTATGCCGCTGAGCTAAATCCCCAGCCCAATTAATATCTCAAGACATGCTTCATAAAACTAGAAAAAAATCTTAAATTTCTTACATAAGTAAGCACATAAGACGTAGAACACTCAAAGCAATCCTAAACAAAGTGAACAAAGCTAGAGACATCACAATATCCAGTTTCAAACTGTACTACAAGCCACAACAACAAAAATAGCATTGTATAGGCACAAAAGTAGACATATAGACCAATGGAATAGAAAACACAGAGGCCAATTCACACAGTTACAGACATCTGATTCAACAAAGGAGAAAAATATACACTAAAGAAAAGGATGATCTTAAGGCTTTTGTGGGTAAATGGAGGCAGCTTGAGACTCTACTCATAAGTGAAATAAATCAAACTCACATTTATAAATCTCGTACTGTCTCCTTAGTATAAAAAATAATAAAAAATAAAAATCTGAAAGGGTAAGAAGATCCAAAATATACAATAGATACTGCAATAATGAAAGGGAAAGCAAGTGCTCTAAAGGACAGAACAACTAGGATAGAGGAAAGGAAGAAAGGAAGGGAGGAAAAGATTACATGTATGTTGGTAAACATATACAAATGTATGTATGTGTATATATACTAGATAAATAACTATACTACTAACCTCTGTTAGCTCATCAAAAAGAACAGTTTGTGCTGTCACTGTTTGACTGATCACTTTTGTGCCTGGATTTTGTAACCTGAACAACTACTTCTAAGATAACAATATGCAATATATTAACTAGTGTTAATTCCCTACTTTAAAAAAAATTTTTTTTACCATTTTTATCCTTTTTTTGTTTTGTTTTTTAAAATAAAAAAAGAAAAAGAAAAAATATACGGTAGAGAAATAATAGCATCTTAAACAACTGTGCTGGGAAAACTGGATATTCTCATGTAGAAGACAGAAACTATTTCTCTCTCATCCTATACAAAAATCAATTCAGAATGGATCAAAGACATAAGTATAAGGTTTGAAACTTCAAAGCTGCTAAAGGATGATAGTGGAAACACTTGAGATCATAGGCACAGGCAAAGACTTCCTTAATAGAATTCTAACAGCATAGGAAACAATGGCAAAAATCAACAAATAGAGCTACATTAAATTAGAAGTTTCTGCCCAGCAAGGGCAGAGTGAAGACAGCTTAGAGAACAGGAGAATATCTTTGTTAGTTACAATTCCAACAGAGGATTAATACCTAGCATATATAAAGAACTAAAAAAAAAAGCCAAAAAAAGCAAATAGTCCAATCAATAAATCAATTGAAGACTTTTTAAAAGAAGAAGTATAATTAGCTAATAAGTATATGAAAAATGTTTAATATCTTTAGCTATCAAGGAAATGCAAACCAAAACCACATTGAGATTCCTTATCATTAAGAATACCAAAAAAAGGTGAGAAGAAGCAGCAGCAGCAGCAGCAGGGAAGTGATGCAGGTCTATAACCCAAGCACTTGGGAAGCAAAAGGATCAAGAGTTGACTTAGGTTTTTGTCTCAAAAAGTAAAAGAGGGTTAGGGATAAACCTCAGTGTAAAAGTCCTGATTCCCTGTAATGAAAAAAAAAAAAAAAAACTCAAAAATGCTGGAATCTTAGTTACTTTTCTTGAGGCTGAGACAAACTGCCTAACATCCAAAGTTAAAAGATAGGTTTATTTAGTCATGGTTTGTAGAGGTTTCAGCTCATAGTTAGCTGCTCCCAGGCAGGGTGGCATGGCAGAGAGGCATCACAGAATAGCAACAGCCCACGGCAGGCAGGTAGTAAAGAGCAAGCAAGGGACAGCTTGCAGCTCTTTCCATCTCTTGTATCTTATCAAAGCTACTTAGAGCAAGTAGCACTCACACACCTTTAATCCTAGTGCCCTTGATCCTAGCATTGCACCATGAATCAATTTCAGTGTTACATACTCCAAATACAGCTGTGGGGAGGACATCTAGACCCAAGCCATAAGAGATGGGGTGGGGTGGAGGGAGAAAGCAATTCTTTTAAACTGCTGCTAGGCATGTAAATTAGTACTATTCACTATGGAAATCAGTATGGAGGTCTATCAAAAGACTGAAGACAGAACTACCATATGACCCAGCTACAGCACTCCTTGGAATATATGCAAAGGAATTAAACTCAGCATACTATAAGGATATCTGCATACCCATGTTTACTGTGGCAAAATTCACAATAGCCAAGATACAGACCAGCCTGGGTGTCCATCAGAAGATGAATGGATAAAGAAAATGTATACACAAATGAGAACAAAATTATGTTATTTGCAGGAAAATGGATGGACTGGACCATGTTTTCCTTAATGTGTAAATCTAAAAAAGATGACATGAAGTAGAAAGCAAACTTAAGGGAAAGAAACACATTAAAGTGAGAATAAAAAAGGACTATAAGCACCAGATGTGGCAGCACATGCCTATAATCCCAGCATCTGGCAGGCTGAGGCAGGAGGATTGCCATGAGTTTGAGGCAATCCTGGGCTACACAGTGAGATCCTGTCTCAAGAAAAACCAAAGAAGGAGTACAAGGAAGGGTAATAGGAGATTTAAAAAGTTATTAGTTATGTCTTTATGAGATCATGATGCTGACATGAATTTCCTGAGGCAAAATGTATTAAGTGAAACAGAAGGCTAAAAAATAGTATATACAGCGCTGCCAACTTTTTATTTTAAAAAATGTGTGAATGTATAGAGATACCAAGAAATTGCCTAGAATGGTATTCACTTAACTGTATTAATCTGTCCCTGGGAGTGAGATGCTAAGCATATTTTTTTTATTATTAAGAGGTTTTTGAGTTGTGCTGCTATAAAATGTTTTCATTATGTTAATTAGCTTGACTGTGATGATCATTTCATGACATATATGTATCTTAAAATGTGATGCTGTAAACTGAAGAAGGTATATAGGATTTTATCAATTATACTCAATAAACACTATGAAAATAACACAATTTTGAAAAACTCTTCAATGCATGAGAACTTTTATGCTCTTTGATTTGGCAAATTTGACACTAAAAATCTTTTTTAAAGGGATAATCCCAAATAAGAAAAAATATACATTGTGATATTCCTTGCCATATTATTTAGAATAGAAAAACAAAAATCCCTTTCCCACTGCAAGTTTCCAATCTTTAAGTATAATATACGAGAACAGTTATGTGATAGTATATAATACAAAAATACCAAAGTATTACAAAATTTTTTAAAAGGGCAGAATATATGGATTACAATGATGATAAAAGCATTCAAAAGTAGCTCCATCTATGCAAAGGTAAAAAAAATCACAAATATTAACAGTGGTTGGGTTAACATGTTGGTACTGTGGTACCATAATTCATTATTTGTATCTTGGTATGAAGTTATTTTTCATAATTTTTTTTAAACATATGACTCTAATAACAATAATATTAACCTGAAAAAAGAAAAATACACATAGGGACTCACAGCAGAATCAGTGGGCAGGTCAGTATCCCACTTCCGTCCTTTGAAGTCTCCACCTCTGTTCCATCGAAATGAGCTCATGCAGCCTCCCTGAGAAAGTTCTGTGCAATAAAAGTAAAATTTTAAAAAGCTAAAGATCTGTAAAAGAATAAAAAGATAAGGAATACCAACAAAGGAAAGCACATCATTATGCAGAAAGAATCAGATAAACCCAAAATGTGGACAAATCTACCATTAAGAATTTTCAAAAAGTCACTGGACTGGGAAATGAGTAGGGATTACCCATTGATTTATAAAACTAGTTTTATTTATAGTAATCTTATACTAAGTTTTAAGGGATAGTAACTACATTACAGTAATATAAAAGCATGTTCTTCCCTTTCAGATGGAATGTATACTGAAAAGTAATGACATTTCCAAAGCAGTAAAGAGGCACAGCACACATACAGGGATGGAATCGAATGTGGTGCAGCGTTTCTGTGGTGGTATGGGGTTCACTATGCTTTTTTTGAGACTTATGATAATTTTTATTTATTTTAAAATGAAAAAAGAATAAAAGGGGCTGGGGATTTAGCTCAGCGGCATAAACGCCTGCCTTGCAAGCAGGCAGTCGTGAGTTCGATCCCCGGTACCAATAAAAAAGGAAAAAAAAAAAAAAAAAAAAAAAAAGAAAAAAGAATAAAAGTGATACAGAATTTTGAAACCAAACAACAGATTAAAAATGGTTAACATATTGTGTATTGCTTATATTCTTATTTTTTTAAATTGGTACTGGGGATCGAACTCACAACTGTGCACTTGCAAGGCAGGCGCTTAAGCCACTGAGCTAAATCCCCAGCTCCCCATATTGTGTATTGTTATCTTCAAAGTGGTTTAGAGTACAAGATACAGGCGTGCAAAAAAAATGATTAGACAATGAAAGCACAAACCATTTTTTTGTGTGTGTGTCTTTTTCCTTTTCATTGGTACTGGGGATCGAACTCACGACTGCCTGCTTGCAAGGCAGGCGCTTATGCCGCTGAGCTAAATCTCCAGCCCCACAAACCATTTTTTATGATGAACAAATTGGTGGTATAGTTATCTATCTTGTTGTGTACACACACACACACACACACACACACACACACACACACACACACATATACAGTCTTTTCCCTTCTTTTCTCCTTTCTCTTATCCCAGTTGTTCTTTTCTTTTGAGCAGTTTCTTTCATTTTCATAATATCTATCACACTTTGGATCACTTTTGGATAATATCTATACACTTTGGATCTTATTTACTCTCACTTTTTTATGCTAGAGAGACAACATGATGTTTACGCATGCATGCCCAATTTATTTCACTTATGAGTATGGTCTCAAGTTGCATCCATTTACCTATGAGTCTCCAGTTTATCCTTCTTTGTGGCTTGGTAGTATTCCACTGCATTTTTTTATTTATTTCTCGACTGATGGGCATTTGGGTTGTTTCCAGGCTCTACCTATTACAAATTGCTATAAACATGAATGCTTTCGTATAATGTTTTCAATAATTCTGGGAAAATACCAAGAGGAACAGCTGGATCAAATGGGACCTTGAATCCAGTTTTTTGGGAATCTCCACCTTGATTTCCACAACTACTATGTTCTTTTTAATACTTTTATATATCTGATGTATGATAATTTCTATATTTAAAAAATTGTGAGCTGGGTATGGTGGCTCACACTTGTAATCCCAGCACTTGGGAAGCTAAGGCAGGAGGACTGCCACAAGCTCATGGCCAGTGTGGGCAACATAGTGAGTTCAAGGCCAACCTAAACTGTATACTGAGACCCAAGATCAAAGACAAAAATAAAAACAAAAACAAAAACAAAGTGTGTGTTTATTTATTTATTTATTTTTTTTTTTTGTCTTTTTCATTTTTATCGGTACCAGGGATCGAACTCATGACTGCCTGCTTTCAAGGCAGGCGCTTATGCCGCTGAGCTAAATCCCCAGCCCCAAAGTGTGTGTTTATAAAAACAAACTTTTTTTTGGATGAGCAAAGCCTTGTTGTCTATCAGGCAATCTTGCCAAAATATCTGAACCTGCACTTACAGAAAGTACACAAGAAAGGCTGGGAATACAGCTCAGTAGTATAAGCTTGGCAAGTGCAGGGTCCTGAGTTCAATTCCTGGTACCAAAAATCCCCCAAAAAACAAAAACCCAAAAACCACAAGACAGAGCAGTGTCTAATACAGTGGATATATTCAGCAAAACCCAGACCATGTGAAAGTATAGGACAAACAATCCAATTTCTTTGACAAATACATTGCAAAGGTCAGAGGGAAGGGATGGCCAAGAAACCTACTTTTTTTTTTAAATCTTTTTATCGGTACCGGGGTATCGGTATCAGTCTTTTTCCTTTTTATCGGTACTGGGGATCAAACTCACGACTGCCTGCTTGCAAGGCAGGCACTTATGCCGCTGAGCTAAAACCCCAGCCCCAAGAAACCTACTCTTAAACTTAAATATATCAACTTATTTAAATCCCAATTTAAGCAATACTAAAACCAGTACTAACACTTTATGAGAAGGTTGGATGTTTGAACATCGACTGAGTATTTCATGAAACAAAGAAAGCATTTAAAATATTAGGTCTAAGTGGGGCATGGTGGTTTATACCTAGAATCTCAGCTACTTGAGGCTGAGGCAGGAGGATCACAAGTTTAAGATCAGCTTGGTTGATTTGGCAATACCCTGTCTCAAAATAAATTTTTAAAAAAAGGGTTGGTGATGTATGTAGCTTAGCATTTCTGGGTTCAATAAATACCTGGGGGTGGGAAACATGTGAAGCTGTATGGTGGTTTTTTGTTTGAGTTAGGGTCTCACTGTGTAGTGCAGGCTGGCCCTGAGCTCATTTATGTTGCCCAGGTTGGCCTCAAACTCAGGGTGATCTTCCTGCCTTAACCTCAGATTGCTGAGGAATTACAGACATGCACCATTGTGTCTCCCCATAGTTACACTTTTTTTTTTTCTTTTTTATTAATCGGTACTGGGGATCGAACTCATAACTGCATGCTTATACCGCAGGCACTTATGTCACTGAGCTAAATCCCCAGCCCTTTTTTTGGTCTCGTTGAGACAGGGTCTTGCTATGCAGTTTCAGGCTGGCCTTGAGCTCATTTTGTAGCCCAGGGCTGGTCTTAAACTTGCAACATTTCTCTTGCCTCAGCCTCCTAAGAGCTGGGATTATAGGTGTGTGCCATCATGCCTGGATTTGGTTAAACATTTAAAATTTTCAAAAAAAAGTTTTTGTTTCTTTTTCTAGATGGATTTCATTTATAAAACCCAAATGTCACGAAAAAGCTCTCACATTTTCCCCTTAAAATCAATAATTACCTTTGATCCGTTCAAACAAGTACTCTTGATTTGGTGTGAGGTCTAGATACTGCACAATTGCATTCAGAGTCGGAATGAGAGGTGCTTTGACCAGGGCAGCCTGTTTCAAGCTAGTAATACTAGCCTCTGTTCCAACAAAACACAGAACATAGATTATTCATGATCAGAGTCTGAGAAAGAATTTAACATGCTTTTGTTCAAACAGCTGGGTCCTCCTTGCCTTCAGTCTTTTAATGAGCCAGTAATCTTCCCTGACATACTCAGATTTTGACCTTCCTCTGGAAACATTAGTGATAATACCTTTCTGTGTTCTTCCTCCACAGCACTCACCACTTTATGTTATATCTTATCTACCAGAGAGAAAATGGGAGTGAGGGCAGAATTCGGGGTCAGTTTTCCTCACTGTGGAAATACTTATAACAGTGTTTTAAATCTTGAAAGCCCACTATGCAAGGAAATTAAAAAGTAAAAATTAAGAAACAAAAAATATTTTGAAATGTTTAACTTTACTAGTAACACCCCCTGCTGGGAAAAGGCATTTCTTGTATATGCTACATAAAGCTAGAATCTAAGCTGTTTATAGGGAACTTGCATTTAAAACTTTAAGACACTCACATATGTTGAGCTAACTTAAAAGCTGTACTTTTAAGACTTTATCCTAAAAAAATGTAGTATGTACACAAAGACTTAGGTGAAAAAATATTCACTACAACATAATTAGTGATAGTAAGAAGTCCCTACATTTTAGATAACAGAGATCTGCTACTTAAAATATAAGACAAATAGTATTAAACAGAGCTATAATCTAGCCATAAACATAGTGCTGAAGAATATTAGCAAAATGGAAATATAGAGTGCATATGTCTATGTGCACGAGTGTATGTAGAGGATGCAGGAGACAAAACAATATGATTTCAATTAATTAAAATATATAATTTTATGCCTCTATATCTTTCTAAATATGCAACTTCAATTTCTTACATTATGTGATAACTTACTTCCTCCAAACATAAGTGGTGTGATTAAAGTTATAGTGCTTATCTCTGGAAGCAGTGACAGTCTTCTATTTTATAATTGTTGGCAGGCAGTATGGGGGATTGAGTCCAGGGCCTTCACAATGAACTACATCCCTAGCTCTTTTATTTTGTGACAGGCAGGGCCTTCTGAAGCTGCCTACACTGAGCCTGAACTTGCAATCTTTCTGCCTCGGACTCCCGTAGTGCTAGAATTTACCACCACACGTGGCTGAGCAATATTCTTGGTGCATTTTGGTTCTTTCCAAATTTTCTACAATGAACACATATACCACTTTTATATTAATAAAACAATGCTATTTATTAGAAAGCACAACAATAAAATGTTGCGATGCGTATTTTTAGAGCTCATAAAGAAAAGCTCAAAAAGGACAAGCAGAGGTTCATGTAACATTACCAAGGCCAAGAAAATGCGCACTGTGGCTCTGTGCACTGGGCAACAGTAGCCTCAACCAGAAAATGGGGCAGTCAAAGCCAGCTCTTAAGCTTAATGTGAACATCTATAGTAACAATTAGAAAATACCTGGATATTCAATAAACACACTTTATGGATAGGCACATCTATTCTTTTTTTTTGATCTTTTTCCTTTTTATCGGTACCAGGGATCGAACTCATGACTGCCTGCTTGCAAGGCAGGTGCTTATGCCGCTGAGCTAAATCCCCAGCCCCGGCATACCTATTCTTAACCCAAAGAATAAAGAATTATTAAAAGATACCTAAAGAATATGGAAAAGTGCTAATTTATAATCCAAAATGCTTATATTTCAAAGAAAAATGTATTCTCTAGAAGGAGCTAGGGACTAAAATATTCCTTATGTTTTTAAAATCTAATTACTTAACAGTAAATAAACTGGTACAGATGTTTTAGGCAAATTATATAATATCTTACTTTTATTTTTAGCAGATATGAATTAAAAACAGGGATTTTGAATTATTATTTTATACATATTTGACTTCTTTACAGGCAGGGTCTTGCTGTGTAGTTAGGCTGGTCTTGAACACACTATATTGCCAGGTTAGCTATGAACTCAGTTATCCTGCCTCAGCCTCTCAAGTGCTGGGATTACGGGGGTGCGCCACCATACCTGGCTTCATATATACTTTATACAATGCAATTAATATCGGAAGAGGTTTGTCTAAAATAAAGAACACATACAACTGAAAAATTAAAAGACAACACAATTTAAAAATGAGTAAAGGATCTAAAAACAGCAGTAAACATATGCAAAGGCATTCAATGTTACTAATGGGTAGGTAAATGCAGACCTACACTACAGTGACTAAAATGACTTCCTGAGATGCACAAATGACTGCCCGAGATGCACAGTTAGCAGGTACTGTGGTGAGATGCAGAGAACCCGGGACCCTCACATCCTGCTGGCTAGGATATGAAACGTTACAGCTGCTTTAGAGCAGCCTGGCAGTTCCTCAACAGGTTATGAATAAAGAGTTACCATTTGACTGGTGTACTCAAGAGAGATTAAAATGCTAGTCTGCATAAACACTTGTACCTAATTGTTCATAGCAACATTATTAATTGTAGCCAAAAAGTAGAAATAAGCCAAATGGCAATTAATTCATAAATGGATAACGAACTGTGGAAGAAGCATTTTGAAAACTTGGCCATAAAAAGAAATGAGTAGCAGAGCATGGTGGTGCATGCCCACAATCCCAGCACTCAGAATGAGGCGGGAGGATTGTTTGGAGTTCAAGGCCAGCCTGGCTACTAAGCAATACCCTGTCTCAAAAAAAAAAAAAAAAAAAAAGGAAAAAAGTCAAATATTGTTAAATGTTGCTGATGTATACTACTACAAAGTAGCTCTAAGCAGGATTTAAAAGTAATCATCTGGCTTTCTATGTTAATTTGTGAATCTGTCCCAAGCCTAGGCCCATTGTCTGGAGATGGGCAGTGGATTCATAGTAAGTGAACCTCTACGAATCACTGGTCTTGGCTGAGGCCTATAGTGGCCTATGATGTCCAAAGGACAAGACAAGACCACAGCTGAGGAGCCTGGCTCCCCACCCCCCCCAATTAACTAGATAAAGACTGTAGCTGCAGGCATCTCAATTCAGCAGTGAAGGTGAATCTGGAGATAAGACAGTTCTCCTAAATTAACATAATTTATGACTTGGAGAAGTCCTGCAAAACACTCCCAGTTTCCCCTGTTTTCCACTCTAATCCTTTCCTTTGTTTAAAAAAACAAATAAATACTGGCCGCCAGAGAAGTTCTGTCTCAGGCCCCAGAGAATATCAAATTCTAGTAGAGGGTTTTGATTCTCCTGGACCCCTAAAATCATACCACTTGTCTCTTTTATGTAAGCCTTTGCAGTTTACTCATTTGGGAAGTTGCAGACCTGATCAGTTCATGATATGCTACCAAACAGATGAAACTTAAAATGAAGTATACTAATAAATACTTAGTCCTCCCTACATTTGAAGATAACAAAAGAAGTTGTTAAATAGCCCATTACACGAAGATATTTTCCATTTGGCTGGTTTATTAAAAGTAAATCAAATGCTAGGCTCTAGTCCACATACCTCCTATCTGCAGCTCTGGACAACCCATTCGTCTCATCTGGGTGCTGACGGACTCAGTCTCTTGTACAAGTGGCACTAATATTGTCTCATTGATCCACTAGGAAGAAATGAGGTTTAGATTTTGTATGTGTAATTCCAAAGTATTTCTTAATTATTTTCGTTTCTAGAAGCAACTCTATGAATTTGTCTTACATTTGAATATGAACAGGACTGTCAAGTGCAGCGAGAGAGAATGGAAGTAGCAGCTACCTAAAGGCTAGTGTTAAATATACTACTGGGGCAAGGGATTTGGCTCAGTGGCAGAAGTACCAGGCTGGCAAGCGTGAGATTGTGACTTCAATCCCTGGTACAAAAAACAAAAACAAAAACAAAAAACATGTATGAGTGATGATTAAATTGTTTTGGGAGCTAGGGATTTAGCTCAGCGGCATAAGCACTTGTTTTGCAAACATGTGGTCATGAGTTTGATCCTGGCACCAAAAAACAAAACAAAACATTGTTGTTTTGGCTACTGGAAATTGAAACCAGGGCCTTCACACTGAGCTACATTTTCTGGCCTACTCCTTTTGAAACACAGTCTAAAACATTTGTCTTAGCAGATGTCTACTTGTGATCTTCCTGCCTCTCCCTCCCATAATGCTGGGATTATAGGTATGTGCCATCTCATATGATTGGAAGTATTAACTAAATTATATTTTCAAAGCATATGTGTCCTTTCTTCTAAACAAAATAACTTTCTATAGGTTAAATTAAAAAAATAATTTCCTTCAATGATTATTTTTTTTTTTTTGTCGTTTTCCTTTTTATTGGTACCAGGGATCGAACTCACGACTGCCTGCTTTCAAGGCAGGCGCTTATGCTGCTGAGCTAATTCCCAGCCCCCAATGAGACAGTTTTTTAACCTTACAGAACTGATTAACTCACAACAACCTACCCTAGTTGCCTAAGCATGTGGAAAAGAAGACAATGGAACCAGTTTGTGAATATTACAATACAGTATTACTTTAGGACTGGGAGACAGGTGTAATGGCACATGCCAGTAATACAAGCAGTCTGGGAAACTGAGGCAAGAGGATCACAAATTCAAGCCCAGTCAGCATATTTTAGCAAGATCCTTTCCCAAATAAAAAAGGGCTGGGGATGTACTCAAAGCAAAGACCCTGAGTTCAATTGTCATTGCTGGGGGGAGGGAGTAGGCAGCAGACTAAGAATTTCAAATGCCATGTTCTGCAGTATCAGAGTAATCTTGGAAGCGAAAAAGATCATCCAAATAAAGTCTGTCTGGAATATCTGTATATTACTATTTTGGGTGTTTACATATCAAGTTCAACCAACACTTCTATTTTCATGCTGTTAACCATAAAAATGAAATGAAAAAATATGTCTGACAAAGCCCACAATTTCTTATAACAAATTTCAATTCAAAATCCCTGAAAACTAAGTTTCTTTGTAATGTATACACCAAGAAAAGTCAATATAGTGAAAGACTCAGACTAAATTCACATGAAGTTGTTTATTCTTCTAACATCTATTTACTATGTGCAACCTACTTGGCTGCTACACTTTGGCTGCAACACAATCGTCTAAGCTGTTCAGGAAAGAGACCCAGGCCTCACTCCTAGACATTCTGAGTAGTTCTGGAACCAGGCTCAGAAATTTTTATTTTCTTCCTGTTATTTTTTGCAGTATTGGGAACTGAATGCAGGGGCCTGCACATTTTGCACAAGTGCTCTATCCCAGAGCTGTATTCCTACCCTGTTTCATTAAGTTGCCAAGGCAGGCTTCAAAATTTGATGCTCCTACCTCAGCCTCCTGAGTAGTTGAGTCTTCAGCCATGTGCTAATGTGCCTGGCCTATTATAATTTTTCTCTATTTCTGTTTACTTTTTGGTTACTGTAATTTTAAGCAAGAATGGTAGTTTTTTTAAAAAAAATTATTTTGAAGGTAGTAAAATACAACAGAACAAGACAGAACAAAGCCAATTGAGACAGTGTAGTGAAATTGGTGGTAGTTTTTTTTTTTTAACCTTTTATTGATATATACATATACATACATATATATATATATTTGTTATTGTTGTTGTTTTTTCTTTTCTTTTTGAGACAGGGTCACACTAAGCAGTTCAGGCTGTCCTTGGGCTCACTTTGTAGCCCAGGTTGGTTTTGAATTTGTAATGATCCTCCTGCCTCAGCCTCCCAAGTGCTGGGATTACAGGCATGCATCACCATGCCTGGCTTGATTTATATATTTTGAGGTGGGAGTCTTACAACATTACTCAGTGTAATCTTGAATTCTTGAGCTCAAGAAATCCTCCTGCTTTAGCCTCAGAAGTAACTAGAGCACAGGTGAAAATTTCATTGCTAAATGAAATTGCTGCCTAGGTTTCTCCTGTTTTTAAACCCTTCCTCAGGCTACCATATTTAATTTAGTATAAATGATTTCAATATAGTTTTAGAAGACTTGGAATGGATGTTGAATGCTAAAGGGTCAAGTAGTGGCAGCCTCTACGGAAGGTTAAGTGGAGCCACAGATAACAGGAGAGGATGCTGGGTGAAAACCCAGGAACCCACCTCTGAATGTGGAAGAGCTGACTTTCAGGTCAGGTCAAACAGAAGGCTCTTTGCTAGAGAAACTGGAAATACATACATTCTAAAGTAGCTTCAAGTATCTACAGTATCATCACTTGTCTTTGTTTAGTTTTCAGAGGGTGCAGATCATCCTTTTGTTTCCCTCACAATTCTAGATACATAACAAGACAATGACAGAAAAGCTTTTTGGAAAGAAAAATGAAAAACTGGGAAGGGGAAGAAGACCTTAATAACTGAAAACATTGTGAAGAGACTTGGGAGATCTCTTGGTGTGGGTGAGATAGGAGGTGCTGCCCACCTTGGTACCATGAAACTGCAAGAGAAGCTGGAACATCAAAGCTCTGCAGAAACAAATGGAACAATCTGGCAAGACCTTAAAGCAGACAGTCACTCTGGGATATTCTGCAGGGCTCACCCTGTCTCTTTGGGAAGGTGCTAAGCCAAAAGAACACCTGCTCCACTGCAGCCTGGTTTCAGGAACATGTGTGAATGATGGCCCCGCGGCAGAAGTGGGTGGAGGTTGCTGCCAAGGAGAACCCTCAGGAGATATGCAAAACAGAGCCCTGTGTGTGGGCCTCAAAGAGAATGAGAGGCAGGACTGATGATGGAGGATGGAGGACAGAGGATTGAGGATTGAGGAGAGGCTCCACGGAGAACACGTCCTTGCAGTGCCTAACACTACATCACAGTGGGCCAGCCATGCTGCCTGGCAGCCAGGGCTTGAGAAGCACACAGTCCCAGTGTGATTCTTAACCACTGCCAGTACAGCAAATGGTTGAGTAGTGACTATTCCCAGTGAGAAGACTGTGAGGCCTTTGTGGGTAGTACCTTTCCCAGGGAGCCCTTATTCTTCCCTCTAGTTCTCTTTTCACCATGGTCTACTCCTTAGTACCCTGAGGGACACACTCCTCCGGTCCTTCACTACTCCTAGGCATTCGCAGGAGGGGCTGCATTCTCCAGGGATAAGAGCAGAGGAAAGAGCAGCTAGGGAAAGAAAAGCTCCAGGCTGTACTAGGACTCTGGGAATATTTTGAGGTGGGAGTCTCACAACATTACTCAGTGTAATCTTGAATTCTTGAGGCGAAGGAAGAAAGCAGCACAAGGAGTGGGGGCAGGGAGTTTCAGGGAGCCAGCTGGAGGGAAGGTGAAGTTTAATTATGCTCTTGATCTTAATCCCCACATCAGTCAACAATCTGTTCTTACAGGAGCCAGGGAAAGAGACACACACAAACACACACATACACATGCATGCACACATGCTCAGGAACTTACATTTCTAAACTTAGCTGTCCATGAATCCATATGATCAAGAAGTTGTCTATTCATCGTCACTCTTGCCCAAACCTATTAAAAATGTTTAGGAAATAATGAGAACAATCTTGCCAGAAGTCACTATTCTTTCCTGTACCCCCCAAAATATTTGATAAACTTTGAAAATAATCTTCAGATATGTTAATATTCATTTAATTAATATTTAGTAATTTTATTATACATGTAATGAGTTGTTCTTGCACAAATACAAAATTCCTTAAACTGATATATTTAAAGAGTATTTCTGGCTTTTAAGAATAAAATAAAAATCTCACATTAGGTATTAAAATGATAAAGTTTTTTTATACACTGTCAAATGTTCTAGTCCATTCACTTAAAAACCAAGAGCTTGGTATATGCTAAGTACAATTAGATTACCTGAGAGTCTTTCTGTAAAGTAGAAAAATATTTTAGGCTGGAGTTAATGTCACATGGCATAACAGTAAATGTACAATATAACTTAAAGTGTTATGAACACAAGACAGGAGGCTTTCCACTGTTCAGTGAGTACCAGATTTTGTATTTCTATCCAGTAAAAATAGAAATTATAGAAATTTGTTCCAGAAGACTTTCTAGCAATTTGAAAAATTATAAATATTAAGTCATTTTTATTTTCCATTTACCTCTTCTGCAGCTTGCTTAGAACTGAGATCAGCTTCATCTTTGTTAGCAGAGGGGGCCTGAGACCTACAGGCAAGCTGATACTGAAACTTCTTTAAAGTCTGTGCATAATCTCCCATAGAACGATTGTAGTTCCAAAAAGTAGGGCTATTGGAAGGAGAGGTAGAATCTGGGCTTCCTAAAATGATGAAAGCATTCAGTCAGTTGTAGTAACTTTACCACCTAGACTGGGTGTCTAGATTTCCAGGCAATAGCAATCAAGATGTCAGAAGACAACCCTCCCCCATCATTTTCTTTAGAGATCATGGATTTCGTGTGCTAACAATTAAAGAGTATTTTGTGAACAATATCAACGTTAGAACTGTAAGAATTATAGGTGGCTGAAAGTATGTTTCTTTCTGTTATAAAATTAAGCTTGTTTCAGCTGGGCATGGTGATGCATGCCTGTTATTGCAGCTCCTTGAGAGGATGAGGTGGGAGGATCACAATTTGGAGGTCCGCCTGGGCTAAAGAGAAAAGTAAAAAGGACTGGAGATGTGGTTCATCGGTAGAGCACTTGCTTAGTATGTGTGAAGCCCTGGGTTCAATTCACAATACCCCGCACTTCTGCCACGCATGCATATTCCATTCATTCCCTAAAACTGACTTCTTAGAAGAGCCTTCTGGTCAGGGATTTACCTCAGTGGCACAAGCACTTGCCTGGCAAATGTGAGGTCGAGTTCAATCCCCGGTACAAACAAACAAGATTCAAATTAAAAAAAAAAAAAAAAAAAAGAACCACCTTCTGAATGGAGTAAGTACAGCTTTCTGTTAATAAATCATTCTATTAGTTTTCTGTTAATAAATTATTCTATGGGCTACGTCCTTGTACTAATTATGTTTTATTTACTTGTCTGTAGTGTTTCTTTAGTGATTAAATGTCTATGAGCCAGGTGTGTGGTGCACATTAGTAATCCCACCACCTGGGAGGCTAAGGCAAGGAGGACTGTAGGTTCAAGCCCAGCCTCAACACCTTAGCAAGTTAAATGTGAGAGTCTATCTCAAAATAAAAAATGAAAATGAAAAACATGTAGCTCAGTAAGAATGTCCTGGGTTCAATCCTCAGTACCAAACCCAAACAAACAAAAACAGACTACCCTATGATTATATTTCTAAATTTAATTTTAAGAAAGGTAAAACTTCCTCCTATAGAGGTCTGTGTCAGAGTACTTATTACACTTGAGAGTTCTGGTCCCTCAAGTTTTGGTCCATCTTCCTAAAGATAATCTGAACTCCCTGAAGGCATGGAATATTTTTTCTCTAGGCAGTGCCTGAGTCAGTAAGTTTTCAATAACAATTATAATTGGGCTTATTTTTTCTAGGACACCAGAAATATCAATTGACACTTTATATCCACACATTAAAAAAATGAAAAATAGGAACCAGCTTTTTGGTTTTTAACCATAGCAAGGGTTCTAGAAGAAGTGACTATGATAAAATTGGTTTTCTTGTGATGATTACAGCCATAAAGGGTGAGAAATCATGAAGGGGATATGTCAGAACATTTCAATTCACCAAAACCTTGAAGTAACCCAGTCTTGTCCTTGGGTGAATATAGTACGTTTCATGAGGGCATCAAAATATATAGTTAGCTACAATAAAGAAATTCACATATCATATGAAGCTAAATTTCCAAGTAGTACTTTTGATAAAATTGACTTCTAAGAATGAATTAACAGAAGGAAGAGATTATAAACCAACATAAATAATGTAAAACACCTACAATAAATATCTAAAAATGTTTGTTAAATAAAATCCATTAATTAAATGAGTGAATAAAAAAGCAAGATATGAAGAGTTAGTGACAAAAAGTGAAGTAGGAACTGAAAATCAGGGGAATTGATGGAATGGCAACTCTAAATAACTCTGTTGGCCTTGAGAAATCTTCCAGCTTGGTTTAGAGCACTCAGGAGGGAAATGGAGTTAAGGATTTGGGCCAGAAAGATGTAGACAGCTAGACCGAGGCCTTTATCTGAACTACTATTCCCAGCATCCAGCAGACAGCCAGGATCTCAAAACACCATATCCTCAGTGGACAAGAAAAACAAAAAGGCATCTAGTCGTTTGGATAAAAGAAAAGCTTATCTGTCTTAAAATGAGATTTTTAAAAACATCCCTGAGATTTTTTTGATACAAGCAATTGAACTCAGAACCTCACGCTGGCCAGGCAGGCATTGTGCTGTGGAGCCACATCCCTGGTCACCCTTAAGATTTTATTTTATGTATTTTTTCTCTCCTGAGATTTTTTTTTCTTTTTAGATAGGGTTTCCCTATGTAGCTCAGGCTGGCCCTGAACTCAAGGTGATCCTCTTGCCTCAGCCTCGCAAGTGCTGGAACTACAGGTGTGTGCCACCACACCGGATCCCCTTAGATTTTAAAAGCATAAATTCATCTTCAGTGCATTCAGAATACTCATTAATACCCGTGAGGCCCAGGATTCTCCAAAATGACTTAATTAGCACAAGATTAACAGTACTCCTTGGCACTTGCCTGAGGTAAATACAAAACAGCTAGTAGGGACAAAGCACTGATAAGGCTCTAAAGAAAATGCCTGAAAAGGAAGGTCTTGTTTACCAAAACAAACAAGAATCACATATATCATTAGGAAAAAAGTCTCCAAGTATGACAGTCAACAATATAAAAGCGTCAATATTAAACCTCCAAGAACTTTAGGTACCTGAAATGTTGGACAGACTTAAAACAAAACAAAACAAAACAAAACAAAAAACACATGTCAATTTAAAAGGAGGATCTCTGTGTTGAAGAAGATGGGGAAATGGCTGGTGAGTGAAGAGTTTGTCCTTTCTCCAAGGTGAACTCTTTTATTATTACTCCATCCTCAAGAAACCAGGCAGTCTTCAGCTGAGGTAATCTTGCTCTGGGGATCATAGCATCACAAGGCCTCAACTGTGACCAGAAGCAGGCACATGGGAGTTATGTTTCCGAATACCATAGTCCACTACCAGACAAGCCCTAATCACAGTTTAATTATGAAATGATTTTTTCCCCAAAATTATAGAGTAGCCCTCGACAGTCCATCTCTATATCTACAACTAAAGCCAAGTAACATGATTACTAAGACAATACAAACTGATAAAAACCTCACTTAATCTGTTACATCTTAACTTTTTGTTTCTGTTGCATCTTTAAAAGCATACCATACCTGCAGATTTATGTATGCAATACAATAATAAAATTTCCTTTTCTCCTATTTATCTTCGGGCTCCAGTTATCACTGGACATAGGGGATGCAACAATCCATTGGTTTACTGTGAAATGACTTAACTTTCTATGAGCCACATTTCTCCACATGCAGAATGAGTTCCCAGGCTGGAGTAGTGGCCATTGGCCCCCTCTATCTCAGGCTCCAGTCACCACCTCCAGGAAACTTAAAGGACCAAGGCTGACTGGGCTGTACTTCCTAGGAGGTTGCTGTGTGCGATCCACTTACTCCCTATGGCACCTGAGAATCTACCCAGGCTGAAAGCTCGGGCCAGTAACTAGGGAGCCTTTATTTTCTACACTGTCTGCCTGGATCAGTGACATACTACAGGTGCATCTGGGTTTTTTGTTTGTTTTGTTTTGTTGGTACCAGGGACCAAACTCAAGACCTTGGGCTTGCCAGGCAGGCGCTGTATGACAGCTATATGACTGGCCTGCACTTGTTAAATGAAACCAAACTCAACTCCTGATAAACCTTTCCCTTAAAACTGTGATACAGGGGAAAGAAACACCCAACCTGCTCGGTGTCTGAAACGCCAAGTTCATGTTTCCTAAAATGAGGAATGAATGTTACGAACAACGGAGGTTAAGAGCAGAAAATGTATTACAAGAAAGAAAAGCTTCTGTCTAAAAAGGACAGAAGAAGGCCCAGAAAGTGGGTTGCTTACCAATCCCACTTCTCAACGGTGTTTTATTGAGCAAAGCCACAAGCTGAGGAAGGTTCAAGGTAGGACAAAACTATAGTCAACTAATAAGATTCCAAGTATAGTTGCTTAGGTAATATTGATCCAATGGGAAGACCCAAGGTGGATGTGAGGTGGAACAAAACTATGGTGAACTAATAAGATTACAAGTATAGTCGCTTAGGTAATACTGATTATGTGGGGAATAAATTGGGAAGCAAGTCACACAGCAGGGCCACAAGGAATGGTCAAGTACTTTCCTGGAAGACATGGGTTAAGGAGGTTTGTTCTTCCACCCAAGGTTATTGATACCTATTTAGAGTATCATTAGCTGCTGATCATCCCTAGGGAAAGTATGCTGTGTAGTCCTTGTTTTTGTTTTCTTTTGGTAATGGGAATTGAACTCAGGACCTTGTGTTTGCCAGGCTGGTGCTATGCCATTCAGCTATAGCCCCAGTCCAGAAGGTCTATCTTTGTTGTTTTTCTTCCTCTTTTCTTGAGTGAATGCACCTCCACCCACAGTTGTCTTCTGTATTGATCTTTCCAGGGTCTAGCCTTGCCTGCCTACAATATTTCTAGTAACTCAGCTATCTATAACAATGACATGCTCTGCTGGGGATCAGTCTGAGGCCAGCCTCGACTACAAAGTGAGCTCAAGGCAGCCTGAGCCATAGTGAAACCCTGTCTTAGAAAACAACAACAACAAAACAAAATGTAGGAAAAAAAAATTAAGAATGAACAAGATACTATACAAAAATCAGGAATATTTGAAAATAACAAAATAAAACTAAAAAATGAAGAAAAGTGGCTGAATTTCATATGTTAAACAACAGTTTAGACAAGGCTAAAGTGTCTAAAACTGAGGGGCAAACAGCAGGCTAATCTTTAGACAATAGCCAAGTTTTTAATGTAGAAGACAGGAATGTATTAGTTTACATTTTACAACTATCACTGCTTTAAGCTGTTGAGATAAGCTCATGGATACACAGTCATGTGAGAAAGGCTACTTGGGAATGGGAGATAAAAAAGAGCTTTTATGAAGAGATTGGCTCACCATCACTTTGACCAACTGATCTAATTTTATATCACCAGTAATGGGACAAAATAGTAGCATGCATCTGATAAATGATATACTAAAAGAAATATGCCACTCCCTATGTTATATACTGCCAGAAAACATTTAACCTAAATATAATGAGAAAATGATCAGACAAATCCAAATTTGCAAAACAGGCTGACTTCTTTAAAATGTTAATGTCATAAGAGAAAGAAAACAACACACAAATGTTCTAAAGACTAGAGAAAACACCTAAATGTAGTATGTGTTCCTTCTGAAGTCTGCATCAGTAAGAGAGCTATAAAGTCATTATTGGGTCAATTCGATTAATGTGTCTATGAGTAATGTATTTCAAGGATGACAATCACATTGTAGTTATAAAGAGAATGTCCTTGCTCTTAGGAGACCCATGAGGGATGAAGTGCCCTGAGGCTTGAACTTATTTTCAAATGATTTAGCAAAAATACTCTTGTGTATGGTGGGGAGAAAACACATGAATGAATACGACTGCCTGGTTCTTCACTCCTGGAGAAAGGAGGTACAGCTACAGAGCAAGCAAGGCTAGAATGAACCTTGTGTAGCTGGACTGGAATGAGAACTATATTCCAGCAGTATGCTGTGAGGACCTGGTGCGATGCTACCTCAGTGTCTTACCGATTTTTTTTGTCTTTTTGAGACAGGGTCTTACTATGCAGTTCAGGCTGGCCTTGAGCTCACTCTGTTGCCCAGGCTATCTTGAACTCCTATCTCAGCCTCTTGAGTGCTGGAATTATAGGCATGAACCACCATGCACAGCTACATTTTTCAAAAGAATCTTAAAAGGATGTTAGAAGTACTAGAGTCCAAAATTTGATGAGTAAGAGGATAGGTATTTATACAGCCTGAGAGTGGATCCCCACACAAAATGCTTATTACTTACAAATTAATTTACACAATTACCTAAAACCTAAGGGCAAATAAAAGTTAAAAGTAAAGGGATGGGCCAGATGTGGTGGCACATACCTAGAATTTCAGCACTAGGGAGGCTCTGAGACAGAAGCATTGCAAGTATGAATCCACACTGGACAATTTAGTGAGACTTTGTCTCAAACTAAAAAAATAAAATGGGTGGGGGATTTAGCTCAGTGATAGAGTGATCCTCAAACTGAGTAACACCAAAAAAGAAAAAAAGATATAGGGATGAACACAGATACGCTGGCCAAAAGATAGCAGTATAGCTGTATTAATATCAGACAAAACACACCTGAGGCAAAAAAAGATAATTTACCTGAATGATATAATTACTCTGAATTTATATGTATCTAACATAATCTTACATATATTTAGCAATTTGATAGATTTATGAGGAAATAGTTAATAAAAGACAGTAAGGCCAGGGATGGTGGAACATATCTGTAATTCAGCACTCAGGAGGCTGACACAGAAAAATCACTGTGAATTTGAGGGCAGCCTGGACTACAATGAACTTGTTTCAAAAAAAAAAGAAAGAAAAATCAGCAGGAGCTCTTGATCAACTTCCTTAATAGATGGTATATCAAGCAGATAAAAATTAAAAAGAGAAAAAGTGTTAAGAATGTTACTTATTAGTCATTAAAGAATCTTAATGCAATGAACGAATACAGACACCAAACTTGAAGAGACTATGCATTCTTTCCAAGATACAAAAAACCAGTTTTAAAAAAGTGACCACATAGCAAGTCTTCAAACAAGCAACCGAAACCAACCAACCAAGCCTCACTATGTTCTACAAAAAGAAAGAGAAGAAAAACCCAGATGCACATCGAATCTCTAAGCATAGTACAATTAACTTGGAAGAAAATAAAGCTAACAAGGACACTTCAACCTTGAAAATTAAACGGGCTGGGGATTTAGCTCAGCAGCATAAGCACCTGCCTTGCAAGCACATGGTCGTGAGTTCGATCCCCGGTACTGATTTAAAAAAAAAAAACAAAAAGAAAATTAAAAGCAATACCAATAACATTTCCAAACAGTAATACATCTAAATAACTTCTATGGGTCAAATGACAGAAAATATCTGAAAATTACAATGATGTATAGAGATCATTGTGTTATACCCTAATTTTTCAGTAGATTTGATATACTTCAAAATTTTAAAAAGAAAAAACACATAAAATAACAAGATAATATTGATTTGTTTCTTTGACATTTGTGGCACTTTCAGGCAGAATTAAATTAAAAATCCCTAGAGAGTTCAAGGAACACAAACAGCCAGATCCACTTACTTAGCTTCCCCAGCAGGGCCAAGCTTTAGCATCTAAGTGCTTTCTGTGGAAGTTCCTGAGAGGAAAAAATCATTACTTGGTTCAATAACTTAATTTGGTTTCAAATAATTGACTTTGTAATAATCAAATCCACTCCAAATAGATTAGGATTTGCTAACATTTTTTCTCATGGTAAACTATGGGCTTTAAAGAAATACTAAAAGACAAACTAAAAAATGTTCTGGAAAAAAGAGGAGGGTAAATACTGCTTTTCTCCTCACCCTGTCCTGCGCACCAGTCTCCCAAAGGACTACCTGAAAACAGAGAGCTATCATCTGAATACATGCCACATCAAAAAATTTAGCCTCAACTTTAGAGAAAAATTATAACTTACATTATATGAAAAGATTTTAATTTTACTGTAGATGAAAAGGGTCAAGATTTTTCAGTTAGTTCAACCATTTTTAGTTCAATTTAATTCTTAAATTTGGCAGTTAATTTTAACTGCTAAACTTATATATTATATATAAGGTAATACAAAATGTGTTTGTCTCTTAGGGTATACTAGTAAAAAGGACATAAAAACTTATGCACAAATATTAACATAATGGAAATGACAGCTTAAGAATTATGTCAGGTGCATTAAACATAAAGAAAATATGTGTACCTAGATTAACTCTGTGCTGTTTCTCTTCTTCACTTCTGAGGAAAGTGTCCAGAGTGCGCAGGTCCGTCATGTAATCCTCCTTATCAGTAGGTGAGTTATAGACACTGGGGGAAGAACGGTAGCGGGATCTCAATCCACTGCTCTCCACTGGGCCAACCGTGGTAGGGTATGGAGAAGGAGGAGAGGAGCTAAAGCTTGCCAACTACACAAAATAAAAGGACTTCATTTTAGTTTTAAGTATTTTTTTTTTGTCTTTTTCTTTTTATTGGTACCAGGGATCGAACTCACGACTGCCTGCATGCAAGGTAGGAGCTTATGCCGCTGAGCTAAATTCCCAGCCCCTTTGATTTTAGTTTTAATTTAATTTTATTTTTTGAATTCAAAAAGTAACACACCTACTACCATGGTCAAAATCCAAGGACACCTACAGTACCATAAGCTGGTGAGGCTGCAGAGTGCTGGGAGCTCTCATTCATTACTGGTGGGAATGCAAAATGATACAGCTATTTCACAACAGTTGAGTGGTTCCTTACAAAGTGAAATCTCTTACTATACCATCTGGCAGTTGTGCTCTTTATTATTTACCTAAAGAGTGCTGAAAACTTATACTCACACAAAAAATTAGATATGGATGTTTGTAACAGCTATACTCCTAATTTCCAAAACTTGAAACAAAGATGACCTTCAGAACGTAACAGTATTAAAAATAATTGTGATATATTCAGACAATGGAGCATTATTCAGTGCTAAAAAGAAACAACTTATCAAGCTATGAAGAAACCAATCTAAAATGCTACACATAGCTTCAATATATAACATTATGAATAAGACAAAAAATACAGAAGGATTAAAAAAACCTGTTGACTGCAAGGAATTGGAGGGAAAGAGGGACAAATAAATGAAGCACAGGGGTTTTTCCATGTATAATGTTGTAACAGTGGACATGTTACTACACATTTGTCTATGCTCACAGAATGTACAGAGCCAAAGTGAATTCTTGTAAACTATGGACTTTGGGTGTTGATAATGCTTTCATGCAGGTTCATCAATTATAATAAAAATACCTTTTTTTTTTTGGTCTTTTTTGAGACAGGGTCTCGCTATGCAGTTCAGGCTGGCCTTGAGCTCACTTTGTAGCCCAGGCTGGTCTCGAACTCGCAATGATCCTCCCACCTTAGCCTCCCCAGCACTGGGATTACGGGCGTGAGCCACCATGCCCGGGTAAAAGTACCATGCTAATGGGATAAATTGATAATGGAGGAGACTATGCAAGTGTGGATCAGGGATTAGAGGAAATCTCTGTACTTCCTCTCAGTTCTGCTGACAGCAAAAAACTGAACTAACCCAGCATACCTCCCAGAATTAGGGAAATTAAGGCAGGATAGTTTTAGGCCAGCCTACAGTATAGATTGAGACCTAGTCTTGAAAGCCAAAACAAAAACACCCCAATGCTCTAAAAAAGTCTAAATCCCAGTACGTGGAAGGCTGAGGCAGGAGGATCACCATGAGTTTAAGGCTAGCCTGGGTTACATAGGTGAGTTAATGGCCAACTTGTACTACATGGTGAGATTCTGTCTCAAAAAACCAAAATAAATAAATTAATTAAAAACAATAGACTAATAAAAATTAACATGTGTATTTGAGTAAATTTAAAGCATAAATAGGGAGCAGCTCTAAACTCATTACTCAAGGTAATTTTATCCCCTTTTATTTTGTTCATTTTAAAATCTTATTTTTATTTTTACATAATTGACACAATATTATTTAGCTTTGTATCTTTTCTGAAAAAGTTAAACAAGCATTTCCTACAACAATTCTTTATATTATGCTTGTCTATATAATCTTTCCATGTACAGACATATCCTAATTTATTTTTACATTCTCATATTCTAGACTGCTTGCAATTTCTTGTCACTGTAAATAATAACTGCACATAAATCTTTCACTGAACATCGAAATTCTTTATGGCAGATTCCTGAAACTGAAATTGTTTGGCCAAAGTATATGAACATTTTAAATATATTTTCTCATGTATTAAATGAAAATGTTACAGTAAGCTTTATTCTAACCAGCAGATATTAGATAGAAGTATCTATGTTGGTATATGTCCATCAACATTAATACTTTAAAACATATGATATACAAGAATCCTTAAAAAATGTACAGTTGAGCTGAGCGTGGGGGCATATGCTTATAAACAGCATTCAAGAAGCTGAGGCTGGAGGATCACTGTGATTTTGAGGCCAACCTGGGCTACAAGGTGAGTTTAAGACCAGTGAGAACCTGTCTACAAAAACTAAAAAAAAAAAAAAAAAGTACATTTAATTGGTCTTTCCTTTTCCTTGCAAAATTAAGCACTATAATACAAATTACTGGTCACTTATTTTATTTAACTGTTTCCTTAAGTATATTGATAGTTTCTAGTGGATTTCATGAAGTCATTAATTTGTAATTAGTGTACTGGTTTCTCTTTATATTTTTAGGTAATGTATTAAATCCTTATCTATTATTATAATTATTGGAACTACTATTGTATTGACAGGTCTGTTTTTATGCAAGAGGCATATTTTAATTGTTAAGTTAACATCTATGGCAGTGGTGACAAACCTATGGCACATGTGGTACAGTAGGCTGTTTGCATCACTGAAAGCTCAGAAAGGTTCACCATGCACCCTCCGACTCAAAACCTCCAGGACTTTGTGTTTTTCTGTATTAACTTTAAAGTCAATCAGTAACCTTCATAGAACTACCAAAAAAGTCAGTTGAGACTGAAATTTTATACGTTATGTGAGGAAAAGCTTTATAACAGTATCTTTTCATCCAAAAGGTTCTCTCTTCACTTAGCATCTTTTATATTTCTTAGGATTATTCATTCATCCATTCATTTATTCATATTGGCCCTGTATACTTATAAAGCACAATGAATATTCTCACACATTACTGTGATAATACAAACTGGTAAAATTCTTTTGGGTAGGGGCTGGGGATTTAGCTCAGCGGCATAAGCCCCTGCCTTCCAAGCAGGCAGTTGTGAGTTTGATCACCGGTACCGATAGAAAGGAAAAAGACCAAAAAAATTAAAATTCTTTTGGGTAGCTATCTGCCTTTTCCAAATTAACAAGAACTCTATATGCTGAGCTATTCAATGCAAATTAGCAAAAGTTCTTACAAAATGAAAATATTAAAAATATTGGCATTGAATTGTCCAAACAATATTATTAGCACAAACTTTTCTTTCTAGTAAGCTAAGAGAAATTAGTACAACTATCTTAACTATCATATATATATATATATATATATATATATATACTTTTTTTTTGCATTTCCCTTTCTTTTCTCCTTTCCCCCATCCTAATTTCTCTTTCCTTTTAAACAGTTTCTTCTCATTTCACAATATCTCTTATACATTTGCATCTTATTTACTCCTTCAGTTTCTAACACTAGGGAGACAGTATGATGTTTGTATATGAGTCTAATTTATTTCACTTATGAGTATGCTCTCAAGTTGTACTATTTACCTAGAGAAATTTAAACTTTATTCTTCTTTATGGCTGAGTAGTACTCCACTGTATAAAAAGACCATACCTTTTTATCCATTCCTTGATTGATGGGCATTTGGGTTGTTTCCAAGATCTAGCTATTACCAACTGTGCTGATATAAACATGGGTGCACGTGTATCACTAGGGTATGATGCTTTTAATTCTTTCCTTTTTTTTTTTTTTTTAATGTTTTTAATTCTTCCGGGAAAGATACCGAGAAGGGGAGAAGCTGCTGGATTGAAGGGGACCTTGAATCTTAGTTTTTGAGGAATCTCCACACTGATTTCCACAGGGGTTGCACCAGTCTACTTTCCCCACAGTGAAGAAGGGTTCCTTTTCCCTCAAATCCTTGACAGCATTTGTTATTGGTTGATTTCTTGATAATAGCTATTCTTTCCAGGGTGAGATGGACTCCTAGTGTTGTTAAACAGCTCATTTTGGAACGGGAGAACTATGAATAATTTTCCTTCTATTTTATTTTTCTAATTTTCTATAATAATCATATAGTGCTTTTCTTACAAAACTATTATTTTAAAAAAGTCATTTACCTGTGGGTTAGTAATTATCACTGTACACACATACTTTCTCATAATGTTTAACTTACACAAATTTTCTACTTTTTTTTTGTGGTACTGAAGATTTAATACAGGGTCTTTGCATTGAGCTACATTCCCAGCTCATTTATTTTGAGATGAGGTCTTGCTAAACTGCCCAGGTAGGACTTGAATTTGGAATCCTCTTGCATCGCCTCCTAAATGCTATAACAGGCATGTACCGATGTATCAGGTCAGGTTTTCTAAATTCTATTACATGCCAAGCTGGGTGTGGTGATGCACATCTGTAGTCCCAGGTCTCAGGAGGCTGAGGCAGGAGGATTGCAGTAAGTTCCAGGCCAGGCTGAACTACACAGTGAGTTAAGAGACTAGTTTGAACTACACAGCAAGACCCTGTTTCAAAACAACACAAAAAAAGTTTAAATTCTATTACATGCCAAAACTGATTTTAATGCTGGTTAACTAGTAGCATGGATATTCATTACAAAGAGATAGTATGCTTTAAAAGAAGACAGGTATGATGATACATGCATAAGTCTCACCATTTGGGAGGCTAAGGCAAGAGGAGCACCTGAATTCAAGGACAACCTAGACTACTAGGTTGAATAATGAATTCAAGGCCAGCCTGAACTACATGGTGAAACCCGTTCTCAAAAAAAACCAACAAATAAATTAAAAAAAAAAAAAAAGGTAAGGTTAGACACATGACAATAAAAATATGTAAAAATTTCAATCTATTAATTTATTAAGTGTAAAAGCCTAAAAAAACCTATATTAGCATGGGATTTGAAATGAAGGTTTTGGGGCTGGGGATTTAGCTCAGCAGCATAAGTGCCTGCCTTGCAAATGCGTGGTCCTGAGTTCGATCCCTGATACTGGGGGGGTGGGGGTCCACTATCCATAGAAGATATCCATAATGCAGTGTCAAACTGTATGACAATTCTAGCTTTCCCTGGATAAAAACCAACATGATAAAAAGTAATTCTCTAAGAGTGAACATAGGTTTCACATAAAGCAAAAAGGGAAAAACATGAGTAAAGCAAACTAAAGTAAAAAAGTATTTCAAAGAAATTGGGGTTCTAGTCTCGGCTCTTCCCTGGGTGACTTGGGTAAGTTAATTTCTCACTAGTACAGTTTTTTCATCAATAAAATGAATTTTTTTTGGTCAGGGGGAGAGTCAGGGGCTCTCACTATATAGTACAGGCTAACCTCAAGTTCACAATGACCACTCCGTTGAAATTAAAGATGTGCACCACTATACAAAAGGAGATGTTCCAACTCACTTGATGATTTTAATGGAGTACTTCTCAATTCTAAAATAATGTGACTGGCTAAGAGAAAAGAGTTATTACCTTATTATAACCACTGACCGGTGAATAGGTCACTCCAGGGCTGTACGAACTACTGCTACCTGAGGATATGCTTTGTAGTTGAGGGCTGTATCCAGTTATACAGCTGGTGGTGAACTTGGGACTGGCACTGGGCGAGCGAGATGGACTGTAGCTCAACACACTCTGCCCCTGAATTGAAGGAGAAAGTGGAGAGGGAGGGATCTGGTTGGCTGTTAGATCACGTGGAGGAGTAGTCTGTACAACTAGAAAGGAAAGGAAAAAGAAAATAAATATCTACCCACAGACACACACAAATGTTTAAAGAAACTTTCATGAAAACAGACTTAAAGAATAGTCTTTTTTTTCCTTTTGCACTGGAAACTGAACCTAGGACTTTTGCATTCGTTATATCCCCAGGTTCTTTCTGAGACAGGGTCTGCTAACTAGCCCACCCTTGCAATCTACTTGTCTCAGCTTCCCAGAGTGTGTGCCAACACACTCAGCTATTCTTTGCCTCAGGAAAACAACAAAGTAACAGAAGGAATTAATTTTTAAATTAATGTATTACTAAAGAATGACCATCAGTTATTTATCATTTCCACAGAGTTCAAAATAAAAAACTGGCTTCAATCCAGCAAGAGACAAGTCATTTAATTTTAAGGGATCAATGAAATAAACTTCCACTAGGTTGCTGAATGTTTGTTTCATTCAGTTGATTCCAATAAGAATGCTAACCACTGGTCTTAAGAAAATTTATTATCAATCTGTTTAATATATTTGAATCAGACAGTCCTGAAATTAATTCCCTTCCAGTTCTGAGTCTATGAAAGGGGAAAATTAAATTTAAAAATATTTGTTGCTGATCTTCTCTTTACCTTTGCAAGAAATATAGCATATGGTACTTACCAGTTGTTTTCAACCCTAAAAGTGTTTGTTGTCCAGGGCTAACAATAAGACTTGTTGGTGCCACAGTATATTTGAAATATCTCCAAAAATCAAACAAGGCATTAAGGCTGAAGAGAGATGCAAGAGCAAGCTCTGGAAGAGAACAATTTATTTTTAAAAAGGTGGTGGTGGTGGCATGTACTGGTGGAGAAACAAAACCATTCCATACTTTAGCAAATTAACAAAATTCAAAACTACCTTCCTATTCCTAACATCTAACATTTAATAAATATGTATTATCCTTACCACTTTACTTTCACCTTTATTTTAATAATGAATCAACTGTCATGGTGAAGCCAAGTGACCTTCTTTTGCAACTGGGGCTGGACACTAAGCTATTCTCGGAGCTCCACCCTCTCCCCTTTTTTTTTGGAATCAGGGCCTCATTAAATTGCTAAGTTGCCCAGGTGAGGCTGGAATTTACAATCTACCTGACTCGGCCTCCCAGAGTGCCAGGTTTAGAGGTGTGCATCACATCTGGCTTTAGATGACTTTTATGTGTACACAGATAGTTAGTAAGACACGATTCTGACTCAGTCTGCAGATTCCAAATCCCTCCCACTTGCTACACTAGCTCCTACAACAGTCTGCATTATGTGTACAGAATATAAAGTTTAACATCCATAAGAACTTTCTGTAACCAAGGATTTTTTTTTTTTTTTGTCTTTTTCCTTTTTATCTGTATGGGGGATTGAACTCACAACTGCCTGCTTGCAAGGCAGGCGCTTATGCGCTGAGCTGTAACCAAGGATTAAAGGAGATAGAGAAGTGGAAGGAATGAGGAAATCGAAGCAGGCGCCCAGGGAATAGGAATCTGGGCTGATTTTGAAAGGTGAAAACACAGAATAGTACTTCAAGAGTAACAAATATAAATCTTATTAACCTCACATTTTATTTTTCTTCACAGAACTCACAATAATTTATATTTTTCATTTGCTTGTCTCCTCTCCATAATGTTTGTTTCACAGGATTTTCACTTGTTCCCTTTCTGCTGAATTCCCAGACTGGGAACATAGTGTGTACTCAGCATTTGTTGAATGAAGGGATGAATACAAAGCTGAATTAAATCTGCCAACGAAGTTTTCATTGGTAATAAATATAAATTATAGTAAATTACTTACCAATATACCAAAGGGGCCAGTATGTCACATTATAATATGAACTAATCAATTTTCCAGTCCTGGAAAAACAAGAAAGACCTTTCAATTAACTTTTTTTAAAAAACCCAAAACTAAAAATCAAAACTAATACAGAAAGTTCTGAACCAGCCACTGGCTGGTGTGTGTGATTAACTTACATTTCAGTATATATCATTCCGGCCATAGATACATTTAGGAGGCCCCAGGCTAAAACCACTTTCCTAGCTTCTGTTTCTTTTCTCATCCTGATGGTTCTGTCAATAAGGGAATTACTAGGGCTTGCTTCCCCTTGCATCTATTCAAAAGAAAAAACACAGGAATTAATCAAAACTTCACTTAAGAAATCAAAACATGTTTCTTTTATAAAGAAAAACTGTATATACTTTCTCTCTTCTTTAAAATGTCTTACCAGTTTTTTCCCCATTCATTATTAGTACATGAAAAGTATATGAGAAGTGTAAGTGAACTGGCCAGGTATTTCAAGCAATTTAATACTAAATTAAATGATCACATTTTGTAATTTACGGATTGGTTTTTATGTCTGTAAATACTCCAAGTTTTGTCTATTGAGCACGTTATAACGCCTAGAGAGAGGGTTACCTTATGAAACTCATAATATGGTTCTAGTAGTATTTACTACATCCCGTAAATCATAAAGACTGTTCTCTGACACCCCCACGCAGAAGCCATCACTGTGTCTAAGAACTCTTCATTCGGGCTGCCCCTGCCAGCGCGCTCGTTTTTTGTGTGTTGATGAGTAAAGACAGGCGGGTACCCATGATACAAAAGAACTAGAGTTAGAGTGGGGAAAGTGCCTTTCGTCTGAGTCAGTGGAATTTGTATTTTTCGTTGTCTTATAGATAACTGGGAAGCCTGTCCTAGCTATCGCGAGTCGCGGCCCGGGGCGCAGAGACGTCCCCGTGCCGTCAGCCAGCCCCGAAGGCTTCCCTCTTGGGTGCCTCTGTATAAACTCTGTCACGCCTATCGCTTCCTTCTTCCCTTCCACGGCAAGTGACGAGACAGACCACATTCTCCTTTGGCTGAACCCCGCGGGCAGATCAATAGGCACAGAACTCTCAGTCCGCGTGGAACTCACGCCCAGGAAACACAAAATTGACCCCTCAAAACCCACCGTGATATTCGGCCGGAAGAGGCAAGCTCCCGTGGCTGCCTACTGCACATGCGCCAAGGCTAGCGCTGAGGCCTGGGACTGGCGGCTCCACAGTTACCGGAAGCAATGGGCCATCTCCTCTCGCGAGAATGAGAAGGCGTAGAGGAGGGGCGGAGCTAGGATCGATACTAGGGAAATAGCTTTCTGATCTGTGGCTCCCAATGAGCGGGCAGGAGAAACCAGAGCCTCAAAACTTGGGCAGTTTTAGCTCTAGTAAAAAAATATTAAAACTAAGAAAAGGAATTTTGTTTATATTAACATAATTTTAGTTTCCTTAGGGCCCTTATGGGTTCACATTTGCAAGGAGATTTTGTTTAGTAGTGGTTGATTTTGAGGGACAGGTGCAGCGTCCATGGCAACGTGTCCAGACACCAGCAATGACAAAGCATGTCTGGCTCTTGTTAATATATGTATTTCCCTCCAATTGTTTTGACCCAGTGTAAATTTTTTTTTCTTTTTAGAGAAACGGTCTTGGTATGTAATTCAGATGGTCTTAAACTCACTATGTAGCCCAGGCTCTCCTGGAACTCACCACAAACCTCCTGCCTCAGCCTCCCGAGTTTTGGGATTACAGGGTTGTGCCCTCACGCCTGGCCCTCATGTAAATTCTTAAATATCCATGAGATGAGGGTTTAGTACCAAGGAGAGGAAACCCAACCCAACCAAACTAAACCAAAAACCACCCAAACCAATTTATTTTATTGCAGTAAATCATAGTTTTAACATTAAAAAGAAACCTTTTTCCCTCTAAATACTCTTTTACATCCCCCCCCAATGGTTCTTGAGCCCATGGCCTTACCACTGAGCTATGTCCCCAGTCCTGTTGATACAGAAGAAAATCCCAGCCTACTAGATGTCTGGTAGGAGTTCGTGTTCTCTAAAATCGAAGAATGAGTTTTAACAATGGAGGTTAAAAGCAGAATATATTTATTGAGAGAAAGAAAGCTTCTGTCCAAGAGAGACACAGAAGGAGTCCCAAGCAGGTTGCCAAAGACTTTGTCTTGTCTTTCTTTTTTTCTTGTTTTTGAGACAGGGTCTTGCTATGCAGTTTAGCTGGCCTTGAGCTCACTTTGTAGCCAAAGCTGGTCTCAAATTTGCAACAATCCTTTGGCCTCAACCTCCCAAATCCTGGGATTACAGGTGTGTGCCACCACACCCAGCTAAAATTTTGTCCTTTCTAGGGATTTGTATGGAGTAAAATCAGAGGTAAGGTGGGTCCACAGTGGGGAAAAATAGGAACTGGAAAGGTGGATGTACCTGAGGTGGTATAGAACTACAGTCAACCAATAAGACTACGGGTGTAATTGCTCAGGTAAAACTGATTAAATTAAGATCCAGAGGGGAAGCAAGTCACATAGCAAGTGCAATATAAATATAGGACAGGGTCTTTTCCTGTAGGAGATTGATTTAGTGGCTTCTCTGCCTTCAGTCATGGTGATCCATGCTTATTTAGAATATCAATCCCTAATGTTTATACTTCGGGTGTGGTTGCACTTGTTTTCTCTTTTGTTTTGAGATCTCACCTGCAAAAAGTGTCTGTTTTCCCCCATAGTCCTAAGGAATCTGATCTACACTGGCTCCTTCCAGGGCCTAATCCTGTCTGATTGTCTAAACATTTCTAATTAACTAAGTTACCTATAACACTTTTAAATTTTATTTTGAATAAGGACTCAGTAAGATACCCAGGCTGTGCTCAAACTTAAAAGCTCTTCCTTCTTCAGCTTCCCAGGGTGTGTGCCAACCTACCGTACCCAGCAAAACTTACAATTGTTATAGATAGCTGAGTTATTTAGAAATATCATAAGCAATCAGACAAAGAAGAAGAAGAAGAAGAAGAGGAAGAGAAGAAGAGGAGGAGGAAGAGAAAGAGGAAGAAGAAGAAGAAGAAAAAGAAAGAAGGAGGAGGAGGAACAAGATAGGCCTACAGGACTGTGGATATAGCTCAGTGGCATAGCGCCAGCCTGGCAAGCACAAGGTCCTGAGTTCAATTCCCAGTACAAAAAAATAAAGCAAAACAAGAACTACATACACATACTTTCCCTAGGGAGGATCAGCAGCTAATGATACTCTAAATAGATATCAATCACCTTGGGCGGAAGAACAAACCTCCTTAACCCATGTCTTCCCTTGAGACATGAGAAGTGGGATTGGTGAGCAACCCACTTTCTCTGGGCCTTCTTCTGTCCCTCTTAGACAGAAGCTTTTCTTTCTTGTAATACATTTTTTCTGCTCTTAACCTCGGTTGTTCTTAACATTCATTCCTCGTTTTAGGAAACATGAACTTGGCGTTTCAGACACAGAGCAGGTTGGGTGTTTCTTTCCCCTGTATCACAGTTTTAAGGGAAAGGTTTATCAGGGAGTTGAGTTTGGTTTCATTTAACAAGTGCAGACCAGTCATATAGCTGTCACACAGCGCCTGCCTGGCAAGCCCAAGGTTTTGAGTTTGATCCCTGGTACCAACAAAACAACCAGATGCACCTGCAGTGTGCCACTGATCCAGGCAGACAGACCTTTCCAGGCCTAGCTTTGTCTGATTGCTTATGCTATTTCTAAATAACTCAGCTATCTATAACAATTGTAAGTTTTGCTGGGTACGGTAGGTTGGACACACCCTGGGAAGCTGAAGCAGGAAGAGCTTTCAAGTTTGAGCACAGCCTGGGCATCTTACCGAGTCCTTGTTCAAAATAAAATTTAAAAGTGTTATAGGTAACTTAGTTAATTAGAAATGTTTACAAGCATGCACCACCATGTCTGGGTCCTGATTATTATGGACTTGTTTATTTTTAAAGATAATTTAATAAGTTAAAATAAAAAGAAATTTGTTACATATATATTAACTATGTTATATATTTTTATACAACCCCAAACAGTTCCTTTTTACTTTAATACAACTCACTTAAACCAAAAGTTTACACACTTATGCTTTAAGTACTTAGATTTAAAGACATCAAAATAAAATATATACCAGTTTATGGGAAAAATAGACTGAAGCAAACCTGAGAATGTAGCTCAGTAGTAAAGCACTTGTCTATTATGTGTGAGGCCCTATTAGAAAAAACAAGATTGAAACAGGATGAGCAGCATTGAGGCGTGGGGGAAAATATACCATAATATTTTCTAGAAGTAATTTGGAGAACTCTTCCCAAAACTTAGAAATCCAAGAGATTAGTTCCAGTACTAGTTGCTTAAGTGTATGTCATAATTGGTTGCCACGGCAGCTGTCGTAGGTTATGGAGTGAAATGGCTCCCCTTCATCTTTAAGTATGCTTTCTTTTCCAAACAAGAAGACAACATGGGAGACCTTTTGTCCTTATTTCAAGAGGTGGATCCTCCTCCTGTACTGTTAAGTCATTATAACCCAATTCAAGATCATGAATGCCAGAAGGATGACTCTTGTCGGGCGATAGGGAGCTTCCTGCTTTGGTACTTTGTCATTTTATTGGTCCTGGTGTTCATCTCTCGGGCTTCTGTCTGGGTAGGATATCTTTTTTCATTTTAAATAATATATTAGGGTGAACTAGATTTTTTCATTAAATACATTCACTTGACTTTGATGAAACTTTTGTTTTTTGGTACTGGGGATTAAATTCACAACCTTGTGCTTACCAGGCAAGCACTTGAGCCACTGAGCTAAATCCCCAATCCAATGAAGCTACTTTTTAAAAGTTTGTTTTTTAATTTTAAAAATCATGTAGTCTTATCAGGGGAATCTGAGACATTGAAAAGGATGGAGAAGAAAATTTAAAATTACGCTAATTCTTTATCACAGAGATAACCATTGTTAACTTTTTAGAGTATGTCCTTGTAGGTTGTCTTCCTCTTCTTTTTCTTCCTCTGCTACTTTCTCCTTCTTCTTTTTCCTCTCCTCTATCCTGGTATATCTGTTTTTTTATCTTTGTTCTTACATGGTTGGCATTATATTGTGTATATTTTCATACTTGCCTTTTAAGCTTAATAATATATTGTAAATCAGTAGCATTTTTAGTGATTGCTTAATTTTTTGTCTTATGCTTGCACCATAAAAATTCTGCAATTTTGAGACATTTGGGTTGTGTGGAAATTGTCCATATGCCATAGGATATAGGGATAAGCTTTCCTGTTGGTTAAGGACTTCTAAATGCCTTTGTAGCCATATATTGCTAATCAAAGTTACTAAAGTTTATCATCATCAAAAGGACATCTATTTTAGGATTTGGGGTTTTTAGAATGAGGACATACATTTTTTCTGCACAGAATATGATGCAGACCTAAAATAAACAGAACTAAAGTCACCATTCTTTTTTTTTTTGAGACAGGATCTTATCATGTTTAGTCCAACCTTGAATTTGTAGTAATCCTCTTGTCTCAGCCTTCAAAGTGCTAGAATTACATTCATGCACCACCATACCTGGCATCATCATTCTTGATCATCTATTAGTGGGAAAAAGGCACCCTCTTAGAAATGATACAGTCCATTTTATCAGGATAGCAATCCCCAACATATTATAAGCACTGAAGCTCGTACATCGCTGACATGGAACACTTGCTGGCCATTAATACCAGGATGGTGATTATTATTATGTTTTCATTTTTCTTTCTTTTTTGTACCAGGAATCAAGCTCATGATCTCACACTTGCCAGGCAGGCACTGTGCTGCGGAGCTGTATCCTTGACCCTAGGGTGGGGATTATTAATTGTTTTGTATTATAACCAAAGGTGTGACGTAGCAATGGTCAGCTAGACAGAACATTGTACCAGTCTGGACAGAAAGGAGAGGCTATGTCTTTACCTGATGAGTTCCATTATCATCACCAAAGCCTCCCCCTCCCTACTTCCTAGCCAAGAAGTTTCATCTGAATGCTTCTTAAGACAAACACTTCGCCAAAAGATTTAGAATAGTGATAGCTTATATGTGTCTTAAACTCCCTGAGTATATTGAAGTCTGGCCTGGCAAGAAAAGTTACTTTAGAAAAATTAAAGAAAAATTGAAATTATTCACTGACGTTTTAGCATGAAGACCACTTCAGGGGGCTGAGCTATTTTGCTTCTTTGCTTGCATCAGCTCTTTGGGGGTCATCAAGCCCTGAGCATCTGGCCTTCCAGAGACTGTGTGGCCCAGCGCTTTCTTTCTGGGCAAGTAAGATATCATTATTCATACTCTTTTGTTGTTGATGGTGAGGGTGGTGGTGGTGTCGATAAGGCCCAAGGAAATTAAGGGACTTGTCCTGTGTCACAGGAGCGGTTATTGAAAGAGTTGTGGAGGAGGGATAGACCTAGATTTCCTGTCATGTTATTTATTTCCTTCAAAGCACAGTTTGAAATGTGGAATTAAATCTATTCAGTGTTGATTAAAACCTTAATTATCTTAGGAGTTTCCTCTTTCACTGCTTGTTCTGAAGGGTCCCAGGTTTGAAATCTGAGAAGCATATGAGAGAGCTGGTCAAGGAGGAGGGAATTTTTCCTTCCCTTTGAACCTCTTCATTTTCTCTGTCAAACTCTGAGCCTTTATTTACAAACCTTGAAGTAATGGTAGAAGCACCATGGAAATGTGGTGGTAATTATCCTCCAACATGAAGTGGGCTGATTTCCTCTGAACCTGCCACTTTTGAAGATACATTTATCCTTTTGCTTGCAGAGACCATAGATACTCTGGTTATACATTTGTTTAATGTTTCTTCAGATTGCTAGCGCTATATTTTTGGTCCAAAATCTGTATTTTGCATATGTGGAAACTGAACTGGGAGGTGTTAAGAGGCTTGGTAGGATCACAGAGTCTATGGTGGTAGGAGGAGGAGCACGGCCCACCTTTCCCACCCACCCCTTTGGTCAGGCATTGCTGCTGTTTTTCACTGACTTACACACAAAGACAGCTAATTAAATGGGCTTTGTAACCACACTTCATGTGATTCCACTTAGCCTAATGCAAAATCTTTCTTTTTATTTTATGGTTAGTTTTTGACTTGACATCTGTGGAAATGATAGAAACCCAAAAAGTGTTTTTAAATACCTTTCCTCTCCACTACAAAAACACATAGAGAAAATATGGAGATTATAGGAAAATATACAAAAAGAAATAAAAGCCCTCCTGAATGATGCAGAAAGAACCAATTACAACTGTTAGATTTATAAATTTCCTATCTATGGAGCCCAAAACATTTTAAAATTAAATTAGATTTAATTTTATTTTCAAGAGAAAAAATCACAAAGTTTCAAAACAAGATATAAAAGGGTAATGGTGGTTAACACATTGCATATCATTATCTTTATGCTACTCAGAATACAAGATATTGGCATCTAATTGTCCAAACAATATTAGCACAAACCTCTTTTTTTTCAAAAAACTAAGAAATTAGTAGTATAACTATCTTAACTCTCATATATATATATATATTTTTTTTTTCTTTCTCCTTCTTTTCTCCATATCTTCATCCCAGTTTCTCTTTCCTTTTGAAGCTTCTTTCCATTTTATGATATCTATTGTGCCTTTTGGATCTTATTTACTCTTTCAGCTTGTCACACTAGGGAGACAATATGATGTTTACACATGTTCATCTGGCTTATTTCACTTATGAATATGGTCTCAAATTCCATTCATTTGCCTATAAAAGTTTCCAGTTTATCCCTGTTTATGGCTGAGTAGTAATCCACTGTATAAAAAGACCACATCTTTTTTATCCATTCCTTGATTGATGGGCATTTGGGTTGTTTTCAAGATCTAGCTATTACAAATTGTGCTGCTATAAACATGGGTGCCTGTATATTGCTGTGGTAAGATGTTTTTAATTCTTCTGGGAAGATATCCAGAACAGGGCTAGTTGAGTCAAGTGGGACCTCAAATGTTAGTCTTTCGAGGAATCTCCACATTGATTTCCACAGTGGTTGCACCAATCTACACTTGCACCAACAGTGGAAAAGGGTTCCTTTTCCCCCATACCCACTCCTGCATCTGTTATTGGTTGATTTCTTGATAATAGCCATTCTTTTGGGATGAGGTGGAATCTCAGTGTTGTTTTGATTTGTATTTCCCAAATGACCAATGATCTTGAACATTTTTTCACATTTTTATTATCTATTTGTATTTCTTTACCTGAGAAGTGTATATTCACATCAGATGCCCATTTTTGGAGTGGGCCTTTAAACTTGGGAGGTCTGATTTTTTTTTTTTAGTTCTTTATATGTTCTTGATAGTAATAGGAACAGCTGACAAACATTTTTTCTCACATTGTGTGTTGTCTCTTCACATTATGTCTATTGGTGGTTTCTCTTGTTGTGCAAAAGCTTTTTAATAATTTGAAATCCCAACTGTCGATTGCGATCAGGGTTTTACTCATACAATCTCTGTCTATACCAATGTCTTCAAGAATTTTACCCATCTTCCAGTAGATTTAAAGTTTTTGTTTTAATATTTAGATCTTTGGTCCATTTGAATTTAGTGCATGGTGAAAGATACTGGTTCAGTTTTAATCTCCGACATACGCAGAGCCAGTTTTTCCAGCATAGTTTATTGAAGAGGCTATCTTTCGTCCAGTGAATGTGTTTGACACCTTTGTCAGAATAAAGGGGCTTAATATGTTTGGAGTTGCTTCTGTATCTTTTTATCTGTTCTATTGATCTTCAGGGTTTTTTTTTTTCCTTCACCATGCCATTAGCTTTGTAGCATAATTTCAAGCCAGGAATTGTGATTCCTTCTGTCTTACCTTTGTTGCACAGAATTGCCTTTGTTATTCTAGGTCTGTTCTGGTTCCAGATTAATTTTAGGGTTGTTTTCTCTAATTCTATGAAATATGCTATTGGAATTTTGATTGAAATTGCATTAAATCTTTATGACAGTTTTGGAAGCATGAATATTTTCACTATATTGGTTTTTCCTACCCAAGAGCAAGGAATATATTTCCATTTTGTTATTTTCTCTTTTTTTTTCATTTTGTTATTCTCTTTAATCTCCTTTTTCAGAGTACTGAAGTTTTCAATGTAAAGCTCTTTTAAATCCTTCATTAGATTGATTCCTAGGTATTTCATATTTTTGGATTTTTTGTGAAAGGTGCTGTTTCCCTGATTTCTCTCTCAGTGAATTTTTATTCATGTACAAAAAGGCTATTGATTTTTGAGCATTGACTTTATATCCAGCTATGCTACTGCAACTTGCTTATTAAATCTAACTGGTTTTTAATGGAGTTTTTAGGTCTTCTATGAAAAGTATCATGCCATCTGCAAATAATGATAATTTAACTCCTTTATTTCCTATCATTATTCCTTTTCTTTCTCTTGTCTTTTGCCCTGACTAAAGTTTCAAGGACTATGTTGAATAAGAGTGGAGACAGTGGACAACTCTGTCTTCTTCCTGATTTTAGAAAGTTTCCAGTTTTTGTTCATTTAGTATGATGTTGGCTGTTGGTTTTTCATAGATGGCTTTTATTGAGATAAAGACCATCTATTCCAATTTTCTTTTCTTTTTTTGGTACCAGGGATTGAACTCATGACCTTGCCCTCATCAGG